AAAAAAAAACAATTCCATGTCAATTCCTTGTGCCTTTGTTTCTTATAATAGATAAAATTTGCTGTGACTAAACACATGGAAAATATTGTTTCCATGATTTTATTAAGATGGATAATGAAATATTTAACAAAAACGAAGCTCATATAATCAACTTGTGATAGTTTAATAATTATATTAATCTATTAATTTTTTTTAGTTATACCTTAACAAAGGCATGCAGCTTGTGAAGCTTAAAAATAAGTTTTTTTTTGTTGATTTAACTAAAAAAATTATAGCAAAAGAGTCCAATGGTATCCATATACTTATTCATGAACTCTAAAAAGTTGAAAGTACTAGCAAAATTAATACAAATACACCTAAAAAGCTCAAGTTTTTCTGTGGCAATCTTCTAGCTACCACATTATTGAGTAGTTATAAAGAAAACGAAATTGCATAAGTAATTATATATATATATATATATATATATATATATATTCTATTCCTTTGCTGTGATTAATGGAGCCTGGATAACCCGCATGCAGGCTTTGGGTTTGAACGCAAACATTTGAGAACTGCCACAACCTAAGCCCAGAGAGCTGACATAGACAGAGGCTTGATCAAAGGTTTCCATTTTCTCCATTTGGGCTTTTACTAATTGCTGTAAGAAATTTGTGGAGCCTTTGTTCTTTAGATTACAAAACAAAGACCAGGAGTCGTTAATAAAGTTATGTCCTTGCTAGAAATTCAACAAATATACAAAGACTCTGATAAATTAAACAAAATTTCTAGATTTGAGCTCACTCTCTCCTATAGAGTATTGCAAAAGAAATTCTGTATTATTTATACATACGTCAAGAATTAGGTGAATTTTAATATAAAAAGATATTTATGTTGACTTTGTAATACTAGGACGATACTATTGTCTTAATTATATTATTTAATTTATAATAAAATTTATTTTTATTTATATAAATAATCAATTTGATTATATATCGATAACGAATTCATCGTTAATCAAATCGGCATGCATTATACGGTATGGAATATATTTTTATATGTTTATAATGTATTTGGTTAAGACACAATTAAAATTTGATATGTCCAATTATTTAAGATATAATTTTATTTTAATTTTTAATTAATAAAATAATATATAAAAAATTATTTCAAATGGTACATTATTAAGGAATATATTAAAAATTTAAATTAAAAAGTAATAACTTGTTCTATTTATATCACAAAATGAATATAACATTTTATTTTTTTTTATTTATCTTACATACATATATATCAATAGCCTATGCTTAACTACCAGCCCTGCAAGCAACAGTATAGTTTTAAATTTCAATTTTCAAGTCAACTCCTGAGGAGTTAGAGAAGAGCCATTTTGTTTCAAAAAAAAATTGGGAATCAAAATTCAGAAATTTTCGCAATAAAATTTCCGCCTAAAAACGTCGGCCCACAACAATCCAAAGGACGTCTCTCTCTCTCTCTCTCTTTCAAACAAAGCAAAAGCAAAGCTTGAGGAATAACCCTCTGATAACCAAAGGCCAGAGTTTTAAGCCTTTAAGACAAGACATCGCCTGTACTCACCAACCAAACCAAAGTAGCAATGCTGGAACCATCTGCTCAGAACCCCAATTACCTAATCCCACCACTCTCACCGCCACCGCCCTCGCCGCCGCCGCCGCTAGAGCCATCGCCACCATCTTCAACACCCACCAAGCACAATCATTTGTTCTCTTTACTCTCAAAAAGACCCTCCCTCAGGGTGACTTCAGAGTTTGACAGTGACAACCGTATATTCTTCCACAAGGTGTCGTGTAAGCTGTTTGACAACCTTGCCAAGCTTAAACTCTCGTTCGTTAACAACGGCAAACGCGAGATCTCGGACCCCCAATTGGCGTTAACTTCAAAGTACTTATCTATCCACTACGATCCTGAAGAACAAAATGCCCTCATCAAGAGCTCCTTCGATGTCGGTCCTATGTTGCATTTCAAAGCTGCCCATGATGTCAAGGTTTGCCGTTTTCCTTTAGAGGCCTGTTTTCTGCTTAGTGGTAGTGCTTCAGTTGCTTCTGTTACTGAAAAGTTTATAAAATTGAAAGTTTCAGACTATTATGTGACCCTACTTATTTACCTTTTATTGCTGTGAGTGAGTGATTTGAGAGATTGCTTTGTTTGGTGATAGTTATTAAGATGCAGATTTTCAAAGTTCAATTGTAATTTCTCTTCTCAGGCTACAAAAGAGAATTTTGAGGTTTGGGATTTGGTTGGTGATGGTTTTTGAACATTTGAGGTGCAAATGTTCATAAATTGATGATGGGGTTTTACAGGACTCTGCTCTCGTATAATGGTCAAGTTGGTCTTGTTACTTGAAGACCCCTTTGAACATCCTTTTTGCATTTGGATTTTTATCTTAAAAACATTTCTTCGTTTCTTAATATGAGATATATGCATTTGGGAAATCAGAAAATAATTATTGCTTCTGAAGCCAACACTATGATAATAGTTGTTTGAGTGCTGAAATGAATATTACTTCAAGCCATATATGCTGTCTGTTTCATATGTCATATATTTTTCTCAGGCACAACAAGGTGAGGTGGCAATGGTTGCAAATCTTGCTGATCCCAGCTATGCTGTTGAAGTATCATCTCCTGTTCCATATGTTGGTTTGGTGAGTACTATTTATACTAGTATCTTGCTACTGAATATCAATCAATTGATATCAAGGTTAGGAAATTTGGGAAACTAACTGTTCTCAGATGATACTTGGTAGTTTGGCAGCACTTTAAGCTGTTTTTCCTGTTTTTCCTATTTATTTATTTTAGTTTTGCTAGGTATTTATCATAACACTAAGTTTGAAAAATATTTGTTAATGTCTGTATGCATTAATCAACCAAAACTATGCCTCCTTTTGCATCACACAAACACCTGATCAATGGTAGTGCTCTTTCATTTTTATTCTATGCATTATCACCTCCACTGTGCTTCTTTTTCACTTTTATATGTTTAAACATGGTTGTAGCTTTTCTCCCTCTACTTATCACTGTTGCTTTCTTGTTACTGCAGCCCAAAGCAACAATTAGATTCCCTATGGGTGAAGTCACATTAGAGGAGAGAGAAGAGGAGGAAGTGCCGAAAACGTTGTCAATAAATGGAATTCTTAAAACTCCAATTTTGAACGGGGTCTGTGCTGCTCATTACAATGATGAGGAACTGAAACTAAGATACTCATATAAGGTGGTTTTTCTTTCAGTGTTTTAACTTTCTGCTTGTGTGCTTGTTTATTTACCTATTGATTGATGGCCTAGGCTGGGCTAGCTTCTATGGGTGATGCACTGGTATATTTCTTGTTTAAAAACTTAGATGGCTAGTTGTTCAATGTTTGACCTAGGTGACTGATAACCACCTTCACAGGAAATGCTGCGTTGGAAACACTATGGATGTCCAAATTTTCCATCTTTTTGTATGTTTTGTTTCTAGTAGATGGTTCTCATGGTTATCCAAATGGCAGGATGGGGCAATGTCATTTATTCCTAGCATTTCACTGCCATCAAATGCTTTATCATTTGCATTCAAGCGACGTTTCAGTCCATCTGATAAATTGAGGTTAGAACTCCCTCTCTCTGTCAATTTTGGAATCTGTCTTGGAATTGCTTGTGCTTATTGGCTATGGATGCAGTGTTCTTTTGTTTTTGCATGAGATGTATGTGGGAACATATTTACTGGGAAAATAGACTTCTAAGAGAATCTTAGGAATGCCTGAAAGTTAGACAGTTCTTTTTCCTGCAATGTCTATTTTTATTGAAGCGTTTTCTGAGACAGTTTTTGTATTTATCTGCAGCTACTGGTACAATATTGATTCAAACGATTGGAGTGCTGTGTACAAGCACACATATGAAAAAGACTTCAAATTCAAAGCTGGCTATGATTCAGAGGTTCGTCTAGGCTGGGCTTCTCTATGGGTAAGTTCTTCTATTTGCTTAACTTTGTTGCTTTCCATGTCCTGAACTTTGTTGTCCTAAAAGGCAAGGCCACATTGTATGCTTGAGATTCCCTTAATGAAGAGCTTTTACATGACCCGGAAATTTCTTAATATCATCGCTTCAGGTTGGAGATGAAAACGGCAAGGCAAAGACAGCCCCAATGAAGATGAAAGTCCAGTTTATGCTCCAGGTACCCCAGGATGACATTAAGTCATCAGTGTTGATGTTCCGTGTTAAAAAGAGGTGGGATATATTGTAGGCCATCCGTGGGACAGCCTTGTCCCCTTTCTCCTACAGTCTCTCTTTATAATGGCATAGTTTTAGGACACCTTGTAATGATGCTTATTGCTATATAATGACATCGGTTGGTTGATAAAGATACCCTTAAAATGGTTTCCTTCTCTGGCTATGAATGGTTTGATGCACCTCTGCGGACATTAATCCCAGCTATGGAGTAACCATGAAGTGAGATGAAATTGGACGTTTTGGAAAGTGTGATTACAAAGAGATCTGGATATTTTACAACCACATGGTGTCTGCTAAACAGGAGCAAATATGGTTTCCATCAATGACTCAAAGCTGAATTTCTGCTTTGTGAAATAGCAACGGCAACAACCAAGCAACACAACTTAGCTGCTTTCCCAACAGATCACTTTTCAATTGCCCCTATATGAAAAGCTGCTTAATTGGTTTTAACAAATCATGAAGCTGATTTGCAGTTGCAGTAAATGCATTAATAGTTCCAAGATTACGTGCTTTTCCAACCCACTAGCGTTAGTCTGCACATTGCAATAATAAAAGCTATCCTGCGATGTTCCTAGCGTTTCAAGTCATTTGTCTTGCCTCGCATGATGGCAAGCTGCGAGTACATATGCTGGTCAAAATGAATCCTAATGCACTACAAAAACGATGGTATAAAATGCGGAAACCAGATTGAATTATGTTGACCTATCAGGGTGAAATTAGGGTAGAAATTTCAAGCTGTAATGTTTCTTTACTAGTCCCCAAACCAGCCCGGCCAAAAGAAAATCTGGAAACCAGAAACTTTGATTATCCTAAAATTGATACGAAGTTCGAGTATCCCAAAATTGCCTTGTGTTATTTTGCTCAAAATCAAAAGGTACATCATGTATGGGGTCAACAGACGTAATGGGATATACTACTGTACATTCAACCTTCAAAAATTTACCTGATAATTCATAATTTAACAGCAGAAGAACATGAAGATATCTAGTCACCCTTCTCTAGTAGCTTCCAAGACTAGTGGCAATGCAGCTTCAGCACCCCAATACATGTTTTAGCTTCAAGAATCTGCAAACATACACACATTACCCAAGAAATAGCTGCGACCAATAAGCTGCAAAACAATGTAAATGTCCGATTCATTCTAGAAGGCAGTATATAAAGAGAAAACATGAAAGGAGAAATTCTAAAATGTACTGCTCCAATTGGTTAGGTTCTATTTTGAAGTCTCATAACTACCTAAAACTTTTTCTAAGGTACGATAATTACAAGTTTTAATAACTTCAGAAAATAATGCAATTGAGATCACAAAGTCTGTAATTAGTTTGAGTTGTTTGGAAAAAAAATTAGCTTTAAGGATAAAAATGTAGGAAGGGCAAAGAGAATCAAAAGATGGCTCTATGAAATTATAGTGACCGTCAGAGCATCCTGCAATGGACCATGCAATCATTGATAAGATGCAAATTGCAAATTAGTAGGAAATTAGGAGAGAAATATTAGAAATCTTCCAGTTGAACCAGCATCTGCATTCACATGATGATCCAACAACACTAGCCATTTTCTCTAACCAATGAATCACCAAACATTCCAGTAGAAATTATAAGCTAGTTTAATCATATTTATGATGATCTTGTGCTGTGACTGAAGCCTGGAGAATGAGTAAAATGAAGCAAAATGGAGGGAAAACTACCAGTAAACCTCTGGGTTAAGAATGTCAGTTGTCATTGTCGTCGTCGTCATCATCATCATCGGAGTAGTTATTATCACTAAATTGCTCATATATTTGATATTCTCCATCACTAATATCTGCAGCTTGTGTTGCATCACCACCAACAACAGATGGGAAGCTGCCAAAAAGCTCTTGCAAATATGTCCTTGAGTTGTTTTCCATATCTAAATCTAAGCAATATGTAGGAAATCTCAAGCAGACAAAGAACATCCAGATACGGACAAATCTAAAAACTACACAGGTATATAAATGATCATATCTACATGTGTAAGTATGCATGTGCTTGCATGCTTGTCTGTCTTTGTGCATCCATGCGTGCATTGATAAGCTGAGATACTTTGTCTGAGGTTGAAAAGAAGGCCTAAAATACTTTTACAAGTCACAAACACTTTTTTACAAATGAGGAATAACCTCTTATGATTAAAAACTTGTATATACTAAAAAGTTTCAATATGTTGAATGCATTCCTAGCACTTCTACAAGAGGTCTGAATTAGTCTGCGTGGTCATAGAAGTTCAGCTTAAAAGATTTGCAATCACTTTTTCAATCTTAGACAACATAACAAGCCAAATTTATATTATAAACTTATATCAAAGCCTGCTTACGCTTGTGGCAAAAGGCGATGGCCTAATGGTAGCTCACTATAGGAAAAAAGAAGCACTGATTTTAAATCAAAAGTTTCTTGTCCTGGGCTTATCACCAATTTCGGTAATCTAGAATGTTTTTTATGCTGCCTTGCAGCCTGCATTAAATTGCATAATATGAAAAAGTGATTGCAAAGCTTTAAACCCACAGTCAAGGCCAACTTAAATCAATTTAATAGAGAAAATGTCCTTTGCAGCTTTTCATACCCATGTTTGAAAGCAAGCTGAAGGTCAAACCACCACTTTATTTCAAAGACACAGGCTTTGAACAAGAGCACAAACTGGCATGATTCAAGGATACATGTATCTGGTTGCAAAGGGATTTCATCATCCTCGCCACCCTACAGATGAAAAAAATCAAAAAAGTTCCTTTTTAGTTTTTCTTCTGGAAAGAAAAAGAAAAAAGGAAAAAAGCATGAAGTAACAAATATCATGATTTGCTGAGTGTTTGACAAGAATGTAAAAACTATAGCAAAGAACAAATATATAATTTACCAGATTAAGCGTCTCATACACATCCAATTCCTCTTCATCATCAGCGTCAATTTCATCTTCCTCATTATCAGAACTTTTCGGCCTTTCTTTATCTTCATCACCTATAAGCTCTAGATATTAAGTTAGTATATTGAAACTTGGATGATTGGTCTAAAGCAGCTAGTAAAACCAATCAGATATATGAAGTATCACAATCTAGTTTTGGTTGAGCGGTCACAAAAATTCAATAAGAAAAGGAAAATCAAATGTGTAAGTCGTAAGTATTGTGGGCCAGGGAGAAACTAAATAACATGGAAAACAAAAATTTGCAGCAAGAAAGGAGGTATATGGCATATAAATAGATTCAAGAAAATAGAAGCATGTATCATCAATATAGAGTTACACAAATATATGCAAATCACATTCAATAACAAGAATTTTAAATCAATTTCATAGATTAAGTATGTTAGATTATCTGCAATATTGGTGACTGCAATATGAAAAGTGGGGCAGTTAAATTAACCACAAAATAAAAATAAAAGACTAACAAAAGATGAGAAATCGAGAAACTTCAAAAAAAAGGCTGCTCATTTGAACCTCTATTAGTTTGCCTGATCTCCTGTTGATGAGAGTTGAAGACATCCTTGTAAATGCATGACCTCTTTAACTTCTCAAATTCATCAGAGTAAGATTTCCGTATGCTTTCTGCACCATCTTTGGGATATACTGACAAGAACCTCACCGCTACACGAAGTCTCAGGCAGTCAAGCACACACTCTGAGAACCATCCTGTTTTAGACTGCAAAGCATCTGAATAAACATAAACATGTTTTGTCTAAAATTGCAAAATTAAGCATTTATGGACTTGTATGCAAGAAATGTGTGAGGACATCACCCCAAAAAACAAACCTAAATCACCTAAGACTCCGATAACCACATCCTACAGACATCCCCCCTATGGAAAAGATAAAAGAAAAAGAGAAGAAAAAATCCAGAGGATGTGATGAGAGATAAATTAACCAACACATGTGTGGACAACACTCAAGATAATAGACTCACATCGCATGCTGCTAGCTTTGGAGGCTTTCTTATCTCTTGGTGAATGTAATCATCATCAAGTTCAAATAGTTGTAAAAATGTCTGGCATTTGTAAGGAAATACCCGAAACGAACATAAATCTTCCCACTTATGCTTCAATCTGTGTAATAAAAAATTATTAAAAGAAATAATCTTCACACTAATGCCAACTGTTAAAACTCAGCACAAGCATTTTGGATGCAATCGAATGTCATGTGATTCATGTCAGTGTTAAGTATTCAATTCGATGAGCATACACCTTCATTCTATTACAGTGTAATTTGTTGTAAATGATGGCCATAAAATGCTCTTATATTCTAGACCTAGCAGAAATCCATAAAACCTGAACTCTCAAATGCTGAACATGTCTAAAGAAAAAGGTAAATACATCAGTATCAACTTACTTGTTAGCTGTGTTAGCATCAGAATAGCTCCTTAATGGTTCAGGTACACGAAATTCAGTTCTCTGATATCTGGTAAAACAAATGCAGAAGTAAGCATCCGACAAATGACTTGATCGAAGCCATTAAAGCATGTCATATGTTTAATGAAGGAGATCATTGCCAGAAGAACTCTTACATGCGAGAATCAGGATCTTTGCGAGGATCATATCCCTTTTTGATCCAGAACCTCAGAAATGGTCCATTAGAAAAGTAGTAAGCAACCCCAAGTAGAAGCCTAAAAGGACAGAGAAAGATAAGGTTCATATGAAGAAAATTCAACCGTCCCAGGAATGAATTTGTTAATAAATAGGAGGGCAAGTTTTCAGGCAAGACCTTTTAAGCATCAAATGGCTAAATTTTAGACCTTTATCAAGCAAGCGCTCAGTCACAGATTCCTTGGGCCATATAGGTCGTTCATCAAAGAGTTTAGATACGGTAATCTGCCACTCCCACTGCTCTGAGCCTCGAGTTATAAGTTCCTCCCAATTCACTTTCTTAGGAATCTGTGAGAATGCTAAGTCCAACAGAAAGATGGAGAATAAAATTTGTACAGCATCCAAGTTAGACACATTCTTTTTTTTAAAAAATATTATAATACTGGGAAATTAATCTTATTAGTGCCAGAAAATTGATCCAAAATCTCATAAAATTTTCAAAAAACAGGCTGCACTTTGTTTTTAATCCATTTCCATCAATATTTACCAAAATATTATCCATGAAACCACTACAAAAGGGCATCAACAGAGAATAAAAGTTCTCTTACTAAACAATCAGAAAAGATTTTCTTCAACAAAAAAAATAATAAGGGTTAATCCAGTTGAATATAAAACCAATATGATGTAGAAGTATATTGAGTTCTACTTATTGGAAAAATATATTATACGCAGCAGAAAGGTACAATGTGATCAGGAGGATATCTTTAATGTTGAAATCAATTGCAAGGCCTGGCTCTAGATCAACCTGCATGAAAGGAAATCAAATTTCCAGTTCAAACATCTCTCATCCTGATTGAGATAGGATGTGTTGAAAAGAAAGGAAGACATTTACTGCTGCCAAGCATGCAGTCATGTTTCTTTAAGAAAATATGAGTATTAATAAGCTCAACAAGTAGCATTATAAAAAAGAAAGAAAAAAGAATTGATGTCTACCACAAACTTAGATCAGCAAAGCTTCATTTGTTCCATATTCAGTGAAGTAACAACCAAATTCTAGCTCAACATTATCATAAAATAAGAAAGGGAAACTCTCATAAGCTTTTGACTGGCTACATGCATGTATAAGTGAGAAGCTTTGGTATGACTGGAAAAATGAAGGAAAAAAAAAATACGAGTGAAGAATTTTATATGTTCTTGATCAAACAGCCCAGTGAGACCTATCTGCCTATGAAAATGATACAGCTAAAGATAAGCTGCACTTTCCACTGAGCATTTTCATACCAGCAGATTAGTACTACAAATGTACTGACATGTGGATTCATTATATATATATATATATATATATAGATAAATTATTAAACAGACACAAAACATATGCAGCGTACATGGTTGAGTATTTGAATCTGCAATTATGTGCTGCGAAGGTCAGCAGGCATTTGCATGTCTATTTTGTTCAGTAAATTGCAGAAAAACTGACAGAGAGAGCAAACCTTTAAGTCATTACCTCAGCCGTATTCTGTACAACTCCCTCTTGTTTCTTTTTTGAACTTAAGATGGTTGATGGTCTTAACCTGAAATAGTAAGAACTTATAAAAATTAATTCAAAGAACAAAGTTTTTCAGGTCAAAATTTCCAAATAACCTAGAATCAGAAAGCTCAAAGTCAAACACATTTGTCATAGAGAAGTTTTGCTCCATGACTAAAAGTATGCCTCTCTTTCTTCTCAGAGGTCTTAAAAGAAGAACAACCAATTTCACCTTTAATTTCTCAATAACAACCAGCATTGGGATTGATACATTATATACTACTAACAAATATTACTTTCATACAATCATTTGCACAATGAAGTTCTAAATTGCTTAAAAGCTTTATCTTCTAGCAATAAGTGCATCTATTTATTAGAAATATGATTAATTGTTCATTTTAATCTTTTTAGAAAAATACAAATTCACAAAGCTTATAAATCAATACATTGAGCAATGTCCTTCACCTTATTAATGGTAAAAACACCTTGTCTTACACTTATGCCTTTCAAGTATTTAGACTATGGACTTAAGTTAAGAATATCCCCTTTATCAAATCAGAAAATAATAATAAAAAGAACACACCCATGATATAAGCAAATAAAAATGCCAAAGATTTCTTACACTATATTCTCCGGCATATCCTTGGGTGAAAAGAGCGGGGGCAATATCATCATCACATCCTCCTGATCAACGTCCATGAACCCACCTTTTTCTGTAGAACAATAAAAAATTAGTCAAACAGAACTAAGTTAATTCCGATTTCATGTTGAAGTGATAACTATAAAGACCTCACCAAAGGGTGGCTCCTCTGCTTCCGCCCAGTTTCTCTTTCTCTTCCTGGCAGCATCCGCGTGAACAGCGAGAACATGCTGATAATCAGCCATTCCTTCGCCAAAAAAGGAAAAGTCAAGACAAGCGCAAATCACCTAAGCTTCATTTCTAAAACAATAATATGCCTTAGTTTGTTCTTACAAAAATAAAAAGAAAATTCTGACCATCAAAGTGATAAGCCTCTGAAACACGAGAAACAATATCAGCACAAAGGTTAATTTGCTCTTGTTCAGATATCTGCACTTCAGCTTGAGATGGCTGTTTCGGATTTTCGGAATCAGTTGCTCCAGATGTTGAACACTCTTGTGCTTTACTGGAAGCTTCGGCACTTTGGCCATCAGCGGACTTCTTTTTAGATATTTTAAGCAGCAAATTGTTGCAGGGACGAAGCTCCCCAAATGCAGGACGCGAATACGGATCTTCGGGCCTGAAATGGAGCTCCAATTTGTTTGACTGTGAACTACGAGCCTGTAAGAATTAAAAAAATTTCGAATTCCCAGAGACAAAAGTTAATAAATGAACACTCCAAAGCTTGCACAAAGGAGGAAAAAAGCATGAAAATTATAAGCGTATTCTTTTCAAAGCCTAAAAGTTATTGAAAATTTGAATACGGTAAAATAATATATACTACATAAAATTACCCTGAGGATCCCCTCGGTTCCTCCAAGAGTCTCGATGGCGCGAGCAGTCGTCTTAGGATAACCCGGGAAGTGCACGGCGAACGACTCGTCGTTCGGCAACGTGCCGAAGACTCTGCCCTCTTTTATCACTCCCATTGCACCTCTTGCTAAATGGGGTTTTAGGTTTTTTTTTTTCTTTTTCCCTTTAATCGAAAGAGTGAACCAATAACACGACCAGAAGATTACGTCATCTCCAAAAATTTTGAGTTTATTGTGTAAATCTAATCAAGGTCGGTGGTAAGTATATAACTTCTTCTTTTTTTTAATATATATTGGAGCTAATTTTTTTCTTTTGAACTAATAAAAGATGAAATTTATGAAATCGAAGACACTTTTGGCTTCTTTATAGCAAATTAAACAGTTAATACTATTATATATATTATACATTGCCTTTGGAATATTATATTCTAATCATAATTTTAGTATATAGCCTATCTATTCTTTGAGACGTTAAGTTCATTGACAATAACATTAGTCACGCAATAAATACAATCAACCAAGACTCAATTAAAATTTATTACAATTGACTCAAAAAATCAAATGCCTAAGTTAAATAATCTATATTTAATTGACTTGAAACAATCAAACTTAAACTTAATATGACTCATTCTATGACTACGTGCATTCTAATACTACTATAGATATATTAGCCCAATGCATAAGTGATCCATTAAAAATAAAAATCTCACTATTTATATGAGATTTTTCCCATAATGATCTTATTAATCTCTTAAATTTTTTCTTAATACAAACGATCAAGAATATAGTTATTGCAATTATGATGATAATTTGCTAATATTTCTTTTTCTCTTTATCAATTGTACAGAGAAGCCACCATGAATTCATAAAAGAATATATATTTATGTTTATATTCTTTATTCTCAAATTATTATGATATGAAAAATATTTTAAATATTGTTATTGATTTAATTAATGATTTTAAAAAATTTAAGCTTATACTAATTATATTTTTTATATGCCATACTAAAATAACAAATAAGTCGAGCTTGTAGTTATAGACGAGACACGTTTAGCCAAATAAAAAAAAATCCACCTTGATTGTATTTTAAATTGTATTTTTATTGTTGCATCTGATATACGGTTTGCGTATAATAACATAATTAGTAATTTTTCTTTTAGCTTTATTTATTCCTAAATATTTACTCTTTTTATTTTCAATCACGGACATCAATGTACAATTATACTATAAATTGAAGGAAGGTATATGTGAGAAGTATAATCAAAGTTGTCACTAGAGAAAGCAATAGACAGACAAAAATGCCACTCAAATAAGGTTATTGACGGGGTACTTTTGATAAGACAAAATTAACGTAACAATTGATATTTCATAATGCTGGATCCTGGTTTGATTAGTAGCTACTAAGTAAGGAAATTAGGCCTAAATGAAATTTACCGTTACGTTGGCGCCAATTCCACCTTAACGTCTTTTCGACTGCGAGTTCAAACCCCCGCATGCTCCAGTGTACCGCCCCGTTTTTTACTGCGCCAAGCGTCCATTCAGATGGATTTTATTTCCGTACAACATGACGTGGCAACATTCTGTAGCTCTTCTACAAAATACTGTCTTTGACTGTATCGCGGTAGATTACGGAATAGCGTAACATCGTTGACTTGGTCGTCAGTCTCGATTTTAAAAGACGAAGGAAACACTGGTCTGAGACTGAGACTTGAGGGGAAAAAAATAAATAAATATTTAAAGGTGTAACAAATTACAAAAGAAAGACTTCGTTTTTGAAGGAAGCTCTCCAGAGCCACATTTTTTCTAGCTGGTTATTTTCCCGGAAAATTCCGGTGATATCTCACAAAAAAAAAGAAAAAGTATGATCAAACACAAGAGATTCGTTGACTAATATCCAGGTATGCTGCTGCTACTTTCCTTGTTTCTCTGCTAACTGCTAAGTGCTAACATGTCGAGTAATTGATCTTAATGACTTGAGAAAGGGTAGTCTTGGTTGTTGTCGTTTTGTTTGGTTGCTGAGAAAAAAAACTATTAAATAGAAAAGAAAATGATTTGTTTTTATTTTTTGCTAATTAATGGCAATAACTGCTTCAAATGGATTAAACCTGAGCATCCTATAAGATGCTGCTTGAATGTAGATGTTTTGATTGTCTTTTGAAACTTTCATCCATATTAATAGTTGGTTTTGTTTCTCCTGTTTGAATTCTCTACAGACTGATTGATATTATTAAGGCCAATTCTACCCAATCTATCTTTTTCCATCAGAAATTGAATTGAAGGCAGCAGCTTTGTCTAAAATTGAATTGCAGTGGTTGGTCTTGGCAATGGCATATGACCTGACTTTTACCATTTTTGGGTCTCAAATATGGATCAAATATCAACAGAATTGAGGATCTTCTTCTATATTTTATGTTTCTGGCTTCTTCTTTTTTTCTTATTTTAATATTCAAAGATGGCAGAAGGCATAATTACAAGTACACCACTGGTTTCACTACCTGAGTTGATCTCTCAGACCATAGTTGCCATATTTGATTGCATTCATGCAGCCAAGGGTGTACTTACTCAGATGGAGAATTTCGAGAAATTCTCAAATTACTTGGAGAAGATCACATTTATCTTAAAGGAGCTTTCCAAGTCATATGTAGATGAGTCAGAGAGCTTACGAAAAGCTTTGGCTATTCTGAACCTGGAGGTTAAAGTTGTGAAACAGCTAGCACTTGAGTGTGGAACTAGAAACAAGGTTTATCTCTTCATCAGCTGCAGGAAAATCTTGAAGCAGTTAGAGAACAGCACAAAGGAGATTTGTCAAGCACTAAGTCTCATCCCCTTGGCCTCTATTGATGGTCTATTGAGAATCAGTACTAACAGGTTATGCAAGGATATGCTGGAGGCTGAATATAGTCCAGGAATAGTGGAGGATGAAATTTTGGAGAAGATTGAGTCTGCTACACAGGAGAGGAATGTTGACAGATGTTATGCAAATTATTTGCTTGTTTCTATTGCTGAGGCAGCTGGGGTTCCTGATGTGCAATTGGCCCTAAAGAAGGAGTTTGAAGAACTAAAGAGTGAAATAGAAGATTCAAAACTGGGTGTAGACGCAACTGAAGCTAGAAGAATGGAAGAGATTGTTATGTTGCTTGAAAAGGCTGATGCTACAACATCCTATGAGGAGAAAGCAAAGAGGTACCTAGATCAGCGAAATTCTCTTGGTAGGCAACCTTTGGATCCTTTCCAGTCGTTTTATTGCCCTATCACTATGGATGTCATGGTTGACCCTGTGGAGATTTCCTCTGGTCGGACATTTGAGAGAAGTGCCATAGAGAGGTGGTTTGCAGATGGAAACAAGCACTGTCCATCAACCTCAATTCACTTGGACAGTTTGGTTTTACAGCCTAACAACACTCTTCGACAATCAATTGAAGAATGGAAAGATAGGAACAATATGATCACTATTGTTTCCATCAAACCTAAACTTCAGTCAAATGAAGAGCAAGAAGTGCTTCAATCTCTCTGCGAGCTGCAGGATCTATGCACAGAAAGGGAGCTGCACAGAGAATGGGTGACTTTTGAGGATTATATACCAATTCTCATAGGACTTCTTAGTGCAAAAAATCGTGAAATAAGAACACAAGCTCTAGCCATTCTATGCATTCTTGCAAAAGATAGTCATGATAATAAGGTACTTCTTAGTTTACATTCTTTCATATGGACAAGGCTAATAACCGTAATCAATTCATTTGGGAATAAACTACACAAAATTGTTTAAGGTTTAGAATGTTCCGGTTTCTGAAGTTTATGGCACACCTTCTTGCATATTGTCTTGACCGATGAAACTGACCCCCAATTTGGACCTTTTGATAGTATAAGGGCTGCTTTTCTCAGTTGCAAAGACTAACAATTTAATGTAGAATACTCTAATTTTTATTTTCTCAAACTGGTATTGTTAACTTTCCAGGAAACAATTTCAAATGTAGATCATGCACTTGAATCCATTGTCCGGTCACTTGCCCGCCAAATAAAGGAAAGCAAGTTAGCATTACAGTTGTTATTGCAACTATCAAGAAACAGTGCAGGGCGAGATGCCATTGGAACCATTCAGGGCTGTATATTTCTTGTAGTTACTATGCTAAACAGTGATAATGCTCAAGCTTCTGGAGACTCAAGAGAGCTTTTGGATAATCTTTCTTTCCTTGATCAGAATATTATAGAGATGGCGAAGGCTAACTATTTCAAACCTTTGTTGCAGCTTCTTTCTTCGGGTAAGTTTTCTATGGTGGTCTCTCCTCTCACTATAATTGGTGGATAAGAAATTGACCATGTGAAAGTGCTTGGAAAGTTCTGGCACTATACCGGCCAAGGTTGATAGCACAGTTTTATGTCTAACATTTCTTTGTTTTTTCCCCTACAAATTTGCCTCTGATAAGAAGTTTACCAAATTAATGAATCTAAATTAGTATAATTTAAATTTCCAGCTACGACATTGCATTTGAAGGGCAATATAAACTTTAATTCATTAAAACTTTTCATGTCAAAACATTGGGAAAAAGTAACAGAGAAAGAAAGAGGGGAAACTCTTGTTAAGGTAGATAGTATTAAATTGTTGATTTGTTACTTCTTAATGGTTATAGAATGCTGTCACATAAAACCCATTTGAAATTAGAACTTGATGCATTATGTTTTTCTTTTCTTTCACTTGTAACACTGTCATGAATTTGTAAGTCATAATCACTAAGGAGCACTCTGTTAATGCAGGACCAGATAATGTTAGATTGCTCATGGCTAAGACATTGTCAGAAATTGAGTTGACTGATCATCATAAATTGTCCCTATTTAAAGATGGGGCACTAGGACCTCTTCTTCAGTTACTCTCTCATGATAATCTACAGGAAAAAACAGTGGCAGTTAGAGCCCTTCAGAACCTGTCAAACTTGCCCCAAAATGGCCTGCAGATGATTAAAGAAGGTGCACTTGAACCATTATTTGAAATTCTCTATCGTCATAGCTTGTCTTCCCCAAGTTTGCGTGAACAGGTAGCAGCTGTAATTATGCACCTTGCTGAGTCAACTAATACTGAAGAAGCTGATCGTGAGCAAATCTCATTGCTGAAATCTGATGAAGATATCTTCAAACTATTTTCTCTGATTTCCTTAACGGGACCTGACGTTCAAAGAAACATTCTCCAAGCTTTTTGTGAAATGTGCCAATCTTCTTCAGGTCTGGACATCAGAGCAAAGTTGAGACAGGTATGCCTGCTTCTGAGCAATTTCAATACCTGACATGGAAAATCCTATCTGCGGTACACACGGTTAACTAGTTTGCATAAGGAAAGTAGGAAACCGTTCTTAGGACTTGGATACATGTGCTTAGCCATTTAGAGACTTTTAAGATTGTATCAAACAGTCTCTCCATAGAATCTTGGGGGAGGATTTGAACTCTGTGACCTCCATGTTGGAGGTAAGTGGTGGCTGTCATTTATGCAATACCATTTATTCTGACTCCTCTTCTGTTTTTTTCCCCCCTAAGAAATCAGGTATTTAAACTCCTCTTCTGTTGTTTTCCCCCCTTAGAAATCAGGAATTTCATCCTTTGTTCATGCAATTGAAAAGATAGTTTTGAGGCAGTCACTAAGAATTACTAACAATTTATGTTACTTTAATGTTTCTTTGCTTAACAGCTCTCTGCTGTCCAAGTATTGGTTCAATTATGCGAGGTAGACAACCATTTGGTGAGAGCAAGCGCAGTGAAGCTATTCTGTTGCTTGACAGTAGATGGTGATGATACTAGTTTTCAGGAGCATGTTGGTCAGAGATGTATTGATACATTACTCAGGATCATTAAAACTTCAAGTGATGAAGAAGAGACTGCTGCTGCAATGGGAATTGTCTCCAATCTTCCGAAGGACATAGAGATGACTCAGTGGCTTCTAGATTCTGGGGCACTGGATATAATATTCGTTTCTATGACTGATGGAAATCGAAATGCCTCGCATAAGAAGCAGGAAATAGAGAATGCTGTTAGAGCACTTTGTCGTTTCACCCTTTCAACAAATAAGGAATGGCAGAAAACAGTAGCTGAAGCTGGCATTATTCCAGTGTTGGTACAGTTACTAGTTTCTGGTACTTCTTTGACAAAGCAAAATGCAGCTATTTCGCTTAGACAGTTTTCAGAAAGTTCCACTTCCTTGAGCCATCCAGTAAAGAAGACAAAAGCTTTTCTTTGCTGCTTTGCTGCAACAGAAACAGTTTGCCCAGTACACCAGGGAATATGTAGCGTGGAATCTTCCTTCTGCATTTTAGAGGCTAACGCTGTAGAGCCCCTTGTTAGGATTCTTGGGGAGGGAGATCTTGGAGCCTGTGAAGCTTCTTTAGATGCACTCTTGACTTTGATTGATGATGAAAGACTGCAAAATGGTTGCCAAGTGCTGGTCAAAGCCAATGCCATACCTCCAATTATAAAATTACTGAGTTCGACTTCGACCATATTGCAGGAGAAGACACTTCGGGCTTTAGAAAGGATGTTTCGGCTGGCTGAGATGAAGCAGACATATGCAACTTTGGCCCAAATGCCATTAGTTGACATTACTCAAAGAGGTAGTGGTGGACTGAAATCCCTGGCCGCTAAAGTACTGGCTCAATTGAATGTTCTAGGTGAACAGTCTTCATATTTCTAAACCAGATATAATTCATCCAAGGTTCCCCTTACTCAGGGATGAAGAACTATCCTCTCCCAATACTCTGCTTGCTTGCTTGATTGGTCTGAAATGATTGGTCAGAGTTTGTTGGTTCATAATTGATTTAAAATTCTTTCCAGAAAGAGAACATTCACCAGTTTATTCATATTCAGTGTAAACCTTTCTTTCACCAAGTATATTCAGGGTAATTAACAGAAAAGTTCTTTTCTTCCTTAAGTCTTCAAATGGTTGTTGTATCTACTATTCTATCTCCATCCTTGGGCAAAGCCATTAGGGCTTATTTTCGAGTATAGTTTGTCATTCTCTTTATTTTGTTTCAGCCAAAAGCAGGATAAAAGCAAACAAGATGTAAAGAAGGAAAGGAAGAATAAAATTTTTCAAAACCAGACAAGCCTCCAAAAGGATCAAAACTGTTCATCAATAGTTTAAGCTGCAAAACAGTAGCAGTAATTAGACACACCGTTTTGACGATAGGGTGAAACAGGATTGTCAAATGGGTTAAGTATTTTAGCTGCTGATATAGAATATAAGTCTCCACTCTCCAGACTTTGTAAATAAAGCCATTGGTTTGTTCACAAAGCCAAGGACATAATTGTTTTTCTTTTACCTAAGTAAATTATACTTAAAACAAAGGTAACCATCAATAGAATCCCAGAAGCAAAATGTGGAAATACAACTACTTACAGAGATAAATAAAGAGGGAGACAGATCAGTTCTAAAACGGATATTAGGCAACAGGGCAGCCGTCAGCCATAACCCCTTTTGCAGTTGGACAAGCAGCTAGAGGACACCCTTCTCCTTTATTTCCCCACCATTGGAGATCAATATCCTTTGATTGAAGTGTAATAAACAACAACACCGTCATAAAGGCAGTTCCAGCATCAAGACCACCTGAGAGGACATAATTGTAGCGCTTCCACCATTGGGGTCTGTATTTGAAAACAACAAATCCAGAAAGGAAGCCAACAATAAGCCAACTTGAGAAGTTTACTGCACTAGCTGGAGGCATCATAGATGTTGCACCTATGAGGACAGGCATGTGGATAAGACGAATCCATTCCCTATTCGGAAATGCCTTGTGTGCCAGCCATACTAGGACAGGAGCTACAGCCCCCGCAAGAAAGAACCAATTGACATTACTATATTCACCTTCCACTCCAAATATTCTACGGGGTCCAACAAGCCCCCATATAACTGAGGCATCAAAGAACACATGATCCATCGGACAAGTCCATGGACTGTCAGGTGGCAACAATGAGGTATCACAAAGATGGGGAATCTCTTCCATAAGCCACCATGCAGTTATGGTGTACACGACAACCGCCACAAGTGTTCCCACCACCTGCAATGCCACATTGGTAGGTCTCAACATTGTAGATCTACACTAGTGCCTTTCAAGAGTGCCATGATTTTGAGATTGCAAACAGAGAACTTACCTGTGCCATGAACATCGATCGAGGTGGGATCTTCATGTAATGGCCAAGCTTGAAGTCTGAAATAAAGGTTAGAGCTTGAGTCATGCTGATGTAACCATACACCTTGAAGCACATATTAGCAACAGGGTGCTCTGGGTACATATATCCAATCACATATTCAGTAATAATGTTCAAACCCGGTGCCTAGAGATGCATAAAACACAGAAGAATCAATTTTAGGGACCACAGCTTTACACAGTCATTCTAATCCAATAAACAAGTTAACATTGAACACTTTCTTTTACCTGATTTGTGGTAGCAGCAATAATGCCAATTGGGAGGGTGAAGAAAAAAGCAATGGCACAAGCTAGCAATACACCCCACCAAGGCAATTGAAGTGACTCATTATAGTGCTCACAAGTGAATAGTACAAGAGCAATATTCGACAAAAGGATGACAACAAACCACCATGTAGGAACAAGTTTGTACTTCTGCATAAGCTTTGTGTGAATATCCATCTTCTTATCACCTTTAAAAGCACTTTTGGTTTGTCTCCATAGTTCTCTGCATGTAGCAAGGGAAAGCAAGAAAATTATGATATATAATATTTATAACAAGCATAACTTTTTGGTGCCATTTCAAGTTTATCTTTTCACAGGCAGTTTTTTCTTCAAGGCTTCTGGCCACCAAAAATTTCAAATTCATACTACTCTGTTAGGAAGGCCTACCTTCCATCAAATAGTAGGACATGAAAAATCGTAGCAGTTAGTGTTGCAAAACCAAGGCCATAAGTCATAGCAAAGAAAGTGCTGAGATGTACTCGCCCATTCTGCCCATAAGCCTTCTTGTCTAGATGAAACATGGGATTAACAATACTCAAAATGTCATATGATTCACCGTTTGACTTGAAAAGTTCACTAGAATAAATGGGGAAGTTTTTTGCTTTGTAGACATCAAACCAATAAGTGAGGGGTGTCATGACATACATCACAAGGAAGAAACCAACAGCAATATTGGCAGTGGCAAACCATGGACTAGCAAGTGGACTCCCTAGGTATGAGGAAATTGTAGCCCAATCAATGCCAAAGGAACCAATTCCAAGGCCATTCAAGCCTGAGCCCAGTTGTTGGACCAAAATGGACTTGGGAGCCAACCAGCAAACCCAAGAGAAAGATGTCAATGTACTGAATAGATAGCCAGGAAGGACATAGTATGCAAAGCTGCTGATCAAGACTAGCAGAAAGAATTGGTTAAGAGTAGTTCCACCTTTTGATCTTTTTTCTTTCTCGTGTAGAGCCCTGCAATTATATTGGTTGTTTCAATAAGAACAGATATATAAGTTACATATTAGTCAGTAGCGGATGGATGCATATTGCACTAAAATGAATACCTGAACAAGGAGACCATGACCAGGTTACTTGGCCACCACATTTCCCCTGGCTCAACCAGATATTTCCTAAAAATCCCTGCCCAACCAAACCCCAAAACCTATAAGCAAACAAGAAGAGCAGCTTCATCATGTTAGATGCCACATAAGTCATAAGTATTTGCCGAACAACCATTTAAAATGCAAAAAGTTTACATATATGAAACATGCAATTGAATTAATTACAATTTCTGTCAAATGATTCCTCAGATTCTAGAATATATGCTAATCGTTTTCATACAGGATTTCCATTAAAAAAATTAACCCAAAAAAATCCAGGATTTCCATTAAAAAATATAGAGGTGCACATTGAATTCATTATCTGTAGAAAATAGTATGATTAAATTTGCTGACTTCTGACAAGAAGTCAATAAGATAAAGCCCGTGATTAAGAGGAAACGAAGAAAAACCTGAGTTGTAGTCATAACAAGGAGGGCTGGGAGAAATGTGAGCTTCCTCTTATAGTAGAGCTTAACTGCACTCAAAATATGGGTGGCGTAAACAGTTCCAGCGCCAGAGTTGGCAAAAATAGTTATCAAAACATGTTCCTTCATATTGAATGGTCCAGGGTTCATTGTGAACTCCCATCTGGTATTACTCAAGAATCTGCGATGAGGCAGCGTTCTGGCCATCAGATGGCCAAGGGGTACGACAGCAATCATGGCAGAAATTGAGGTAATACTCAACGGCATCTTTCTGTACCAAAAGAACTGGTTGACAAATGACAGTATAACACAGGCACCAAGACCCAGAACCCACATCCTGAATGTGACAGCAGGTAAGGTTGGATCATCAGTTTTAGGCACTGTTAATTCAACTTGTTTAACAGAGCATTCTTCAACCACCTCCAACTCCATGGCCTGGATCTCAGATGTCTCCCCCATTCTCAAATGACAAAAATGTCACTCTTGCTGCCAGATGCAATACAAGAAGCAAGAACACACGAGCAACAACCCGGGCATCAAAGAAGAAACATGAAAGTGTCAAAAGCACAGAAAGAAATAAATAGCAAAGCAGAGGTGGTGGCGGTTGTAACTCATTAAAGCTTATAGACAGGAATAGCAAGAAAGCAAAAGTTTTTGATTCTCAAAGCAGTAAGACAATGTGTATAGTGGCTGGTCAGGATCTTAAAAAGATTCTGAAGTTCCGTATGGCAAGCTTGGAATGGTCAAAGCACCCACAAAATGTGAATCTAAGGAGGTATCAGCAACTAGGTACAGTGATGTAAAACGACATAAGTTGTTTCACAAATGGACGGAATATCCTTGTGTATTGGGGACGTTAGGGCATTGCCCCTTTGGTTGTAGCCTGTGCAAGGTCACGTTTTCTGGTTACGGCAAGTTGAGATTGCGGGATGGTTGGTTGGCATGATAAGATTGAAAAGAGACCACTTTAATCTGTCAAAAAAGATATGATTAAAATTATGAGAAACGAGAATCTAAGGGAATCTTATCCAATCCATGGCAAATATTTACTCTTTCCGATATGGTTGATAGTTCGACACTGTACTAGGTCACTTCACTCTAGTTTGGCAAACATTTATTAATTATTAATCACTACTAATTAATTTTAAAAATGAATACCAATAATATTATTGAATTCCTTCAAAATGATTGGTTGTTGCACGAGTCCAAAACAAAAGAAGTATAAAGAAGAAGATTAGGAAGAAGGCAAATAGAGAGGTGACAGCGCAAGTGAAGTCCAACAAAAACTCCTCATGATCAGAATGACCGAGAACAGTTACACTCCATTCTTGTCTTCTCCCTCTAACGACTTTTGGATCTAATGCTTCTGTCACTCCATTAATGTGTACAACCTCCAGGGACACCGACTTTCCCATTGGTTGCTGACACCTTCACTTTCAAACTTTTCAGTTTCAAGTCCACCATTATTGACATTTTGAGATTTTTGCCTCACCTTATTTTCTTCGTCTATTTTCCCCTAGACCCAATGCATCAGCTGCACATGGGTCATAATGGCCTAAACGACAACGTTTCCCTCTTACCCATACACCCAGTACAGCAGCCTCCTATCAGCACTTCGTCACCCCTCCAGAGCAATACCCATTCCTGCATGTTTGGTGTGCCATTCCCCTCTATTCCTAAGAAACATTTCTTCTTTTGATTGGCTGTCAGACGCTCCAAGGAATAGCCTGGAAATGGCTATTCCTAAAATCAGCTAAAACACAAAAAATACGTAATATCAACCACCCCGTAATATTAGCTATTTCATAATTGAGAAATAGTTTTAAAACATGATAAAACCAAAAGTACCCCTTACAGTTTGAAAAATTACAACCTTATCCATATAAAACATTCTTTTTTTCTCTCTCTCTCTCCTCCCATTCTCCCTTCATTCTCTGCCATTCTCTTTCTCTCTAATTTTTAATTATATATTATAAAAAAAATTAAATTTAAAAATCAATTAAAATTATTAATATTTTAATCATAATAACATTTCAATTACCAAAACTCTGTTAATATATAAATTATCAATTATTAACATTTAAAAATAAAATAAAATAAATTATATATTATAATAAAAAATATTTTTATCCTTTTATCCTCTATTCTCTTTTTATTTTAAAATTATTTTTACTAACTAAACATGACAATAAATCATAATAATAATTTTTATTTTATTTTATTTTATCAACCAAACTATATAATAATATTTTCATTCTACCTCTACCCTACTCTATTTCATTCAATTCTATTTTACGAATCAAACATGTCAATAATCTACATGTGCAAGGAGTAAAAATATACAGCTATACCTTGGAGACTTGAAACCCAAAAAAAATTTAAAAATAATAAAATCTATGATATCGATGAACTTTATCAATAAAACCATAAATTAATAATTAAAGTAACATTTTTTTTCATTATTATATTATATGCACGTCAAGATCGAAGCTCAAGTTGACAATTGAAATTGTACCTTATGCATCAATTATTGGTCTTTCCAATGATTAATTTATAAAAATCTAAGCCATTCATATAATCTGTCAAGTACAATCAGCATAACATCTTTGACTTAAGTGTGTTAATGTAACACTAGAAAGTTGCAGGCTATTGTTATCGTATTCACAGGTTACGAATTAATGAGAATACGACTTTAGGACCTCTAAAATGTCTTTGAAAAACACTGAAACACCAGTTTACTCACGTAATCTAAATGCAACGGGAATCATGCAAAGAAAATTATAGCCTGTGGTATTAATTCTGGGCGGCAGGCAACATGAAAGACAAAGGACGGGTTCATCGTTTCCAGAAACTATAATAATTAATATACTAATAGTAATACGGTTTTATGTTTGCAGTCTTAAGTTGTTGGCTACTACCTTGGCCCTTCTAGATTGATGACAAAACTTTGCAATATCTTTAAGTAGTATTTGATAGAAAATCTCAAGGAAAAAAAATCATTGAAGAGGGTCAACAACAAAAATCCCAAAGTACTGTCCACGACTCACAAGGTATCCTTCAAGAAAAAATTCAGGTAGGCAAACAAGAGCCATAATCTTGGCATGTCGGAGTCCTCTTCACCTGATTCCAGATGTAAAGAGGGTATCACATGGAAGCATTTTTCGGAAGTCAGGAAATAAATTTGTATGATCAATCTGAATTCTCATCAATTTCAGTTCAGTAGATCATACCAGCAACACTTGTGAAACCCAGAAACTATTAAATGCAGAGATCACGGGTCAAAACATTGCTGACGCCAGAAAGCTTGGTGTAAACATGGAATTTTGTTTTGTCTCATTATTTAACTTTATGAAGCACTGAGATAGCTCGACAAACAACCAAAAAGAGACCGACGGTTGGTGTGAGTTCATTAAATTGTACACTACTTCACCTGCAGAGAACCCAAAACTAATTTTAAATTTTAAAAATCTGTCTCCCTCTCTCTCTCTCTCTCAACAGACTCTCCTGCAGCCTAGGATATTCCATCTTTGTCACTCCAAAAACCTATTCTCATGTTTTCTTCCCCGCATGTGAAGCCTCTCTAGCTGAAATTAAGTGAGCAACATTAACCGTGGGTGGTCTAACAACAGGAGAACTTGAATTGTTATCATGCCTGAATTTGATCACCATCAATGCACCTCCTTTGTAAGCATGCCTAACACACATATGCCACCCAACCCCATCAAAGAGAAGAATATTTGCTTCAGGGGGCCACAAGGTTAAAAAGAAGGGTAATGCAGTTCATGATTGTTCACAAGCCTAGCACCCACAAATGTTGCCATAAAAGTACATTGGTAACAACAAATAGCCTTATACTTAACTGAATCTTCAACAGTGAAGAAAATAATATTTCATCCAAAACATCTAAACAGCTTCATCTGGAAAATCCTAAAGAACTAATTATCACATCAATGATAACTGCTCAGCCCGTGCCAGCAAGCTTGACAAATGGCAAAAGAACTTAATGACAATGCCCATGCTGAAATTTATTGTAAATCTTTTCTTGTGCAACTAACTAAAGCCTACAGGAAAGGGCTACAATCAGTTTTGTTGGTTGCAAAAGCAAATGCTTCCCATCTCCCTTCCCACATATAAATAGGAAATCGCAATCCCTGGGTTAGGAGGCTTTTCTTTCAGAAACAGAATAGAACAGGTACTTTTTTATTTTCTTTATTTTATTCTTTCATAATTTTTTTTCTTTCAAACTTCATGCAGGGGAGATGGGAAAAAAACTGCAGAGGAATTTTAAGAAAAATGAGCACACATGAATAACAGCACCTCTATGAATGATACCTATTTGACCGCACGTCCATTGTTAATCAAATATTTCCAAATGATGACTCCTAACCGCAAACATAGATAAGTTTAGAAGCATTCGGTGCAACGCATATGAAGACATTCTAAATAATTTAAAAATCAAATACAGTTCGCTGCTCTCTAGCAGAAAAGAAACACTCTCAAATCTCTAGTGGTTGCCCCAGAATTATCGAAACTACACAGTTCAAGTTCATCCTAATGAAAGCGACCATTCAGAGACTGGAGTAATTCTCGAAACCACAAGGCTGTCGTACCATCCCTCATTATCATAACCTCCCAAATTCGAGCAAATCCTACAGAGAAGTGTCGTTCCATGATTAAGCGTCATTAATTGGTTTATAATGAATTTTCTAACAACACCTACCGTCCATGAATAATAAAAGGTCGAGTGGATAAAGTAAGCATCAATCACCTGCGAATCGCACAATTCAACGCTTGCCACGATGCCCGCCACCTGACCTTGCACCAGGGTAGCGAGCAAATTGCAACCTTAATTTGACCGAGTCACGGTCATGCTCATCGAATTTATAACCTGCAAAATCGAGCGTAACTATTTATACTGCACAACTTACCGCAGTTTGAACGAGCGAATAGGGCTTCACAACTCAGATGCGACAGACGTGAGCCATTACCTCAAGTACAAATTTTGTCGGACAAAGGTTTACTTTCTCAGAATCCTAACTACTGTGCTTTGATCCCTCACATATTTCGTATCAATGATACGAAAGGCTAACTACCAGGCTTTTATTTTCTACCTAAAACAGATATGGCAAAACTGGGAACCATTCTGCCTCAAACTGTTCTTTTTCCACTTACATATATGAGGAGGTCTAAAATGGAAAGGGAGATGGGGAAAAGGAGAGGAGAGGACAAGAACAAAAGAATATATTAACCACATTGTTAGAAAGACCCCAGAGAATAAAGTTGACAAGAAAGACGATTAGTTTGGTGCATAGGCAGCTAGTCTACGGATCGATTAGGCTTTGGACTGATGAGCATAAAGTCTATGCAAGGCGGAGATTTTAGGAGATCTAATAACGCAGGAGGCAGTCTACTCTATTTGCTTCAAAATTTCTAGGAGTGTATTTGCGAGTATCAGAAAAAGTGAAGACTCAATATCAATGTGGAATGAACTGAAAGATCCCTCCAAAACATCCAAGATCACATTGCAGAGTAGAACGTGTAAGGAATGATTATCCTGTTTCACTTATTTAATTGCTGATAAAAGTGTGTTTTTGAAATTTTTCCTGAAATTGCAGGCCATGAACTTACATGCTGATGAGTTATGACTTAGAATTTTTGGAATTAAATAACCCTAAAAGCTCAGTGTTTCAAAATATATGCAAATTAGGGTGTAGCTTTAAAGTTGTCCAGAGACAGAAATTCCAAACCCCTCTCTCCCCCCCCCCCCCAAAAAAAAAAATACTGAATGAAAGAAAAAAGGAAAGCTAAGATTATTACAGAATAATGATGCTTGAGATTTATTGCTTAACTCTTTTCCGTTCATAGCATATATGTTGTTCATTTTATATTTGAACCTTCTCCTAAGCTTGTAACATTCTATGCAAATGAAACAAGCAGTTAAACGAGTTGGCAGAACAGGCATACTTCATCCAAATGACTTCTTGACTTTAAACTTGAACCACACAATTAAATCCTCCAAGCGGTCCAGCAGCCATTCCTTTGGAAAGAAATCCCGCTGCAATCTTCTCAATTCCTATCCTCACTCTCACGTCTGATCACCCTGGCAAGAATGAATCACTGTCTATAGCCCCCCTTAGAAGAAAAAAAGGTGGACGAGGGAAAATAGAGAAGAAAAATAGAACGAATAAAACAAGGAGTTATTGACTTCTGGGTCATCCCACACGTGACATTACCCTGCTTGCCCCTCTTCTATGTTACACTAGCACATGCATTAGTGTTTGGGTGTGTGAGTGCTTTCCTTTATGGCATAACAAACAAACACCATAAATTATAACCATTTGACAGGCAAAAATACATGACTGAAAAACCATTCTCAAGCTAACCTTGTAAAGCATCCATGGCAGTGGCGGCATGAGCAGGGCTTACAAAATCAACAAAACAAAGTATCAGCGGATCTCCCCCAGGCTGCAAAAATCAAGAATTATCAACGTACGTAATATTTGCTCTGCAGTCAAAACAAAAAATAAGTAAATAAACTTACATGTCTTGATTCCTTGCTTACAAGTCTCACTTCCTTGTACCCAACAAACGGGCGGAAGATATCTGCCAACTAAGGTGAAGGAATAAAACTTAATGGGAAAGATGAAAAAAAATAATGCCAAAGTGAAAATTCTAGCTAATGAAAGGATACGAGAAACTTCTCGGCGCGTACAGTCAGATGGCAAACCCTCCACAAACAGTGTGCTGGATGCATCAGGAGGAAGAGGAGCTTCAGGCCTCCCACCACCAAATCCTAAGGTCCTATCTTTTACAGTTTGTCCTGGATCAACACCACCTATACCCATGATACGGGGATCATCAACAGAACGGCCAGGCATTCCCCCGCTCATAGGTCTAGCAGACTGACTCCCACTATATGATGACATTTGCTGGAAGGGTGCTTTTATTCATTAACTTAGCTCTAAATTTTGGACCTTAACATAACAAATTAAAAATAACTACTAGTTTAATACCGTGCTGCGAAGGTAACGATCATAAGATGCTCCAATGGAGTCACTGTCTCTTATTGCCCGGACTGCACCTCTATCATCATCCCGAGAATAATAACCGGAAAGCTCATGGCCACCAGAGACATCTACAAGATTAAGCACACACTTGAGCAAACAAACCACCAAGAAAGATGGGGAGAGAAGGAACAACATAATGATCGTAAAGGCAAAAACACATTAAGGCATGAGGTACATTGAACTGCAATATATAAAGCTATGAATATGTGAATGCAAGTTCTCTTTCTCAGTAACCAAACCCAGAGTGTTGACCTCAAACTTTTGACAGCCATGAATAGAATAAACTAGTGCATCAGCTAAAAAGGATTCCAATAAACAGAAAAGGTCATGATAAGGTTGCTAAAATTGCCAACAGATATGACGTAATTATGAAGCATGTCAATTAGACAAGATAATCACCAAATATCTTTCTTCTTTCATGATCAATTGAAAATAATGATCCTTGGCCCATAATGGATAAAATACTTTGATTAATAAGTCCATACAGGAAACTGGTTAAACATGCATATCATTTAAATCCTTAACTATACAAAACCACATGTTTGTCGTTCACTATCAGAAACGACAATGCAGACAATCAGGCAGTCAGATAGCCAGACAATTAATGAATTCCAGAGCTTGTTCTTTTACTACAATACTGACAACGAAATGACCAAAAGCAATCAAGACTGGCCAACACATGAACCAGTAAAACACAGTACACGATCAAAGTCATTTTGACCAACTAGTGCGTTTCCAAAGTTCCCAGAATTCCTCGGTTCTCGTAATAGATACAAACAATTAAGCTTTTCTGCTCACTGCTTAATTAACAAAGAACCAAAAGACTCTCCCGCTTCTAAACCCATAACATAATCTTCCCAGTCAAAAATGAACTTAATGGAAATGCAATCATGAAACACAAGCCACTTAAGCTAATTTTAAATATTTTAGGCAAGCAATCAAACACCCTGCAAAATATCAATTAAACAAGAACCATTGACACTATCACTCGGAATCAAGCTTCAATTAAGGAAATTTAAAGTCAGATATGCATTAAAAGTTGAAAATCTAACTAGGATGAAAGAACAAAAAAATATGGAATTTTTAGCTTAGAACAAAATAAGCGCATATCAGCACCAATTGATTTTCCTTTCCTTTACCAAAGGATTTCTCTTTCACCAAACAGAGGATACAATTGTGATATGGAGAAAAATATGAAACCCTAAATCGAGCAGATATTAACAGAATATATAGCTTAAAAATGAGAAGGTGAACTTGAAAAAAAAAAAAAAGCCATAAATTTACCGTAATCGGAGCGAGGGCGTTTCCCGACAAGAGAAGGTATCGAGGAGGGCGGAGGCTGCCGTGAGTCGCTATACCTCCAATAAGAATCGGCCATGTCTCTTATAAGATAAAAAGAAAGGGATGGAATGATAATTCAATAATATTAAGAAGGTGAAAAGAAAGAAGGAAATTTGAAGATAGAGAAGGAATAGAGGATTCTAGGGAACAAAGGGGAAACTGTGTCGATCGGGCGAAGTAACGCTCTCCTCTTTTGTCTGCTCTTTCTTTCTTTGTTTTTCGTTTTTTCTTCGTATATTTCCCTCTCTCTTCCTCCACTCTTTTTCTTGTCTCTGACTTTAATCCCCAAAACGCCAAAACACAAATCCTTCTCTTTTGTTTAATCTTTTAAATGATCTACAGGTGTCACTACCAATGCGTTCAAAATTAGAGTTAAAGGTTAGTTCAATTAAAATTTTAGACATACTATTTTAAAAAATTTACTTCTATTAAGATTAAAAGTATTTTTATTTTTAATTAATTTAATTAAAATATTATTTATTATTATATGTTATGTAATAGTGATGCGATAGGATAATGATAGATAATATAACATATTAATTTGACATGAAAAGATCTTATAGTATTTTTTAATTTTTATATCAATATCATATCAGTACTATATAGATATAAAATTATAAATAATATTAATAAATTATTAATTATAAAAATTTATTTGACTTAAAATAAATATACAAAAACTTACTTAAACATAATAAAAAATAAAATTTATTTTAACATTTTTAAATAATTTAAAAACTTATTTGAATATTATGTCAAAATTTTATGACGTTTTGTAACTGCTTTGAATTAAATCTTGATTATGGTGATTTAAGAAGAGAAAAGATAAACTCAAATTTCAAGATTAAAGCAAAAATAAAATTTCTAGCAACAAAAGAAACTATGGGCACAACATGTCAATTTCTCCATACATAATGCTTTAAAAATTCTTAAATTACTTTAAAAAAATAATAAGTTTTAATTTTTTTATTATTTTCAATCAAATTGTTACTTTTTTAATTTTTTATCAAATAAATCTTTAAAAGTAAAAGTGACTATTGATTAATTATTATTAATTAAAATATTATTTATTTATTTTATACAATATGACTTTGATGCTGTTTTGATATGAATAATAAAAATATCACCTAATTGTATCATCATGTCATATTATTATTCACTGTAATATATTAATATGTCACATTAACATTATATAATACAAATAATAAATAATATTTTGATTAATAATAATTAATTGAAATGATTTATTTAATATAAAATAAAAATATAAAAATTCTATTGAACATAATAAAATAATACATAATTACTGAAAATTTTTAAATAATTTTTTTTTTAAAAAAAATATTATACCAAAATAATAATCATATTACTACCTTCAATTTCTAAATTAGCCTTTCTCTGAGTAACAAGGAAGAACATCTGAATCATTAACACGATTAGCTTCACATCCCGTTACTAGCTCACATGCAACAAAAATATACTAACAGTTAAATTGATTATAAAATAATAATGTCTAAATTTCAATTTAAAAATAAATGCTAATCTTCTTATGTAAAAGAAGTAGGAGAAAAATTCAAAGAGAGCATTAAATTAATGTTGATAGACCAAACAATCAAATAAGAAAAAAATTTTACGAATGGCATAAGAATTAATAAATTTTCTTTTATTGTCCAATTATTTAATTTTATTTCACGTCGTCATTACTAGATTTTTTATAAATTTTTTAGTATTCAAAAATTTTGTCGAAAATTTGTTCACATCTGAAAAATTAAAAGAAATTGTTATAGTAAAAAACCTGTCGGTAAAAATACGATGTTACCGACAGAGTTTTTCCGAATGAGTAATTTTGGTAGGAAATGCTTTATTGTCTTATAGTGCAGCATGCTACTTGCTCCTTACTCTTTTGCCATTGACTACGTGTTCCATTGTCATAGACTACTTAGTCCTTTTGGAAGCTTTTTGTAATAGACTTAGGGCCCGCTGGCGCAGTGTGCCAAACGGGACCGTATTAACCTAAATGTCGCCAAAAGAATCTTTCTTTATCCTTATCCTTCTATTTTCGCTGGCAATCACGTACTGTCGAAGGTTGATGATGACTAGCTAACCACTCATCTCTCCCTTTCCAATAACATATTGTCTAGTCAAACGTTGAAAACTTGACTTTTAGCCAACCCTTCTTGTATTTAAACACCCCAGACCCAGCATGATTGGTATCTCTTTATCCAGTTATCCTCAGAAGCAGAACTAGGATCATTTTGGTATGTATGTTGATTAATTTACTTAATTTTCTTCTTGCACCATACTTTATACTCTTTGCAAGTTAACTTTCAGGATTGTTGCCTCGTATCTGTCACTTGGTTCTTAGCTAGCTTTACCAGAGTCTTCAGTGGACGAAATGGAATCCGGCGGTCTAGCATTCTACAGCTGCAGAAACTGCCGAAATCCCCTTGCCCTCGGCGATGATCTTGTTTCTAAAAATTATATAGTTAGTACTAATAACCCTGAGTTCTTTTTTCTTTTTTTGGTCTGAATTAGTGCCTAATTTTTATCATTTTCTCTTTCACCTTCGTTGACTTGGTTGTGATAGGCAAAGTCAGGGAAGGCTTATATGTTTCTGCATGCAATGAACATTGTTCTGGGGCCAAAGCAGGACAGGCAATTGATAACTGGTCTGTATAGCACTGCTGATATCTATTGCAGCAAGTGTGGTGAAGAACTGGGCTGGAAATATGTGCAAGCCTATGACTTGAAAAACAGGTTCAAGGAAGGGAAGTTTATTCTCGAAAAACTTAAGATGGTCGAAGAATACTAGAGCTTACTGGTGATCCCCCTTTATGGAAAGAAGTAAGGAAATAAGCATGATGATCTCTGATTGGAAACCATACTTACCTTTATACATGAAAACTGGAAATCTATGTTTCAGTGCTATGAGATGGGATTTAAATTTCATCACCAGTAAATTAAAAGCTATGTTAAAAAAGCTTTACTTTCATTTGTTAATATGGGATTTGCCGTTGGTACTATTGCTATGTCTCTTTTCTACTCTTTTCTACTAAATATCTGGTAATAATCTTCATTCCGATGGCCGGAAAATATATGGAAGCTCCAGGATCTAATTAAAAAAGGATTAATTTTGGTTTTATTTGTGTGCATCTTGAGTCGAAATTGAGTTCAATTCCAAAGGATGATTTGAATCACCTGTCACCTAATACGGTAGTTGGGTTGTATATTTTTCCTGGTCATGTTTCGTTGTTGATACTGATAATGATGTAAATAAGAAAAGTAATTAAGTACATTATAAATTCATATATAAAAAAAGTTTAATAATTTAAAAAGTTCTTGAATTATCTATAAAAATTTAAATAAACCATTATTTTTTTATTAAATTCAGTTAAATTTATTTATTTTTATATCATATTAAATAAATTTTTATAATTAATAATAAATTAATTATTATTAATTAAATTTTTTATATAAAATTATTAACTAATCATAATAAAAGGTGAGATTGTCATGTTACCAGTTACATGTCACGTTACTATCTATTACAACAAATCTACATCTAATGTCAGCATGACAAATATTATTTTAATAACAAATAATTAATCAATTTTTAATTATAAAAATTTATTTATTTTAAAATAAAAAATTAATTTAACATAATAAAAAATTAATTTTTTATTTAAATTTTTTTAAATAATTCAAGAATTTCTTTAAATATTATATTGAAAAAATGTATAATTATCTTTTAATAAAATTAGAGAATGCAAAATTGCAATAATTTAAGAAAAAAAATCTCAAATCTTTTATTTCTTTTTGAGGGGCAAGAAATTTCATTAAGTGAGCTAGCATGGGTGGTGCCAGAAACAGAGCAGATTGGGCCTTGAGCATAACTTTAGGTTCACATCTGTGCGAAAACCCGTATGCACAAAGAGAGCAACGGAACCGCACCCCAGAACCTACAATTAGCCATGATAAGTAAAAGAAAAGAGAAACTATCAGCCAAGTTCGCGCGGTGGAAAAGTGAAATCCAGACTGAATTCCTATCAAGCCAAATAAAAAACGCACACTCCCCTGACATAGACCTGCAGGTACCGTATCACCACAAACAAAAATTTCCAGAACGTAAAGGGGGGTGATGCTCCTTGTCAGCATTAACTAGGATAGAGCATAGGGCCCCCTGAGTGGGAAAGAACCATAAATGGTCCAATAGATGGTCACTAGAAAAGTGTCGTGCAGGGAAGGCACATGAGAGGAGTAAGGGCAGTGAGAAGCGGGGAAATCTCAATAAAGCAATGGCAGAAAGAGCATAACACTCCAACAGCAGCCATAAAGCGCCATCATTAGGGTAAGGTGGAGAAATTAACCCGTCGAAGGACCACAGTTTTGGGGAGACCATCTGCCAATCTATTAGTTTCCTTGTAGATATGCTTGAAGTAGCAGTCCTTCATGTTAGCAATGAGCGCACCAATGCCACTGGAAATGTTTCGCATGCGCCATGGAACAGAGTTGTGATCAAGGGTCCAAGTGACCGCATTTTTCCAGTCACCTTCCATAACAAGGGGCATGGAAGTAGCCAAGGGAATGGTGAGTAAAAGAGTGATGCCTTCTTTGATGGCGAGGAGCTTGGCATAGTTCGAATCTTCGATGCCAATATGGTGGAAGAAAATGCCTTCGATGAAGCCCCATGATCGCGAATGACACCGCCTTTCCCTGCTGATCCGGGCTTGCGTAAGGATCTAAGGCAGATCCGTCGACGTTCAGTTTTAACGTCCCTGCCGGGAGTCTTAACCAACGGGTGGTCTGTCATCTAATGTTTTCCTTTTCGGTGCCTTGTATTTTGTTGGGATTGGTGAGAGAAAGAGTGAATGGGAAAATCTTCGAGAGGCCATTTCCCCTTACACCTGTGAGCAAGTCTCACAAGAATAATGTCATGGAAAAGATTGCAGTCGGGGTTTTTTCCATGAAAAACAATTTCACTGCCACTCAGCCATAGAGACCATAGAATAACCATATTCCTGATATCAGACGAGCAGGAAGTTGAATTTCCTTGTTGCCAAGCGAAGAAGAAACTGAAGCCATTTCCCGAGGCAACCCATGCGATCCCCCAGAGTTAGCAATTGAGCATTCATAATATCCAAGTGAAGAAAAGGTAAAGAGGGGGTTTCAAGAGCATTACCGCAGAAGGCAGTCGGGAAAGTCTTATTTGTGCCTTTCCCCAACCCCAATGCTGAACCAAACGAGGAGAAACAGAGACAAGCTGCATGCTACAGCTGACCATATGACTGGCCTCCCATCCTTATTGTCGACTCTACCATTTTTGCCACCTAATGCCCCCTTTGATCTGCATTTTTTTTCTCAACTATAAAAAGAAGCACTCAAGATAAAAGAGGACACGAGAAATCCACAACAAAAACTCAAAAAGAAAAAGGAAACAACGACTATCACCACTCACTTCCACCACAACCCAAAACCATCCCAAAAACCCCATTGCCCATCCGAAAACTTCAACCAAATTCACCCACATAAATACCAAAAATCCAAAAAAATAAAGATACAACCCCTTGGCCTACACCAACACTAAAAACCCACCATTTGTAATAAACTCATAAAAAAGGCAAAAAAAAAAAAACAATAACAAAGAAACACACACCGAGCACAATTAGAAAGCCAAAAAACAGCGAAAACCACAAAATAAAACCAAAATTTGTGAAAATAAGGAAGAGAAGGAAAGAAATTGCAACAGTTTTGCAATCTTTTAGATTCAAGAAACCGCCGGAACAAGAATTACCAAAAATTAGCGAGGCCATCTTCCTAAGAATTAAACTAAGGCTACAAAAACCAAATCAGATGCATCCAAATTCAATAATCAAGAAAGGAGCCAGGAGCCAACTATACGCACAACACAACAGATTAAAAAACTAATATAAGCTGATACTTACTAAATAGTATGGAGACAATGGTATCAATCATTAAACCTGCCTTTTTGTTTGCAATCTATATATCCTGTCAGTTTGTAGATAAATTAAGAAAGTAAATAATAAACCCAAGAAGTTAACAAAATTCAACAGAGAAAATACACAAAATTCAACATGAGTCTGACACAACAAACGGGAGCATAGCAGCAGTGAGCTGCGTTGGCGAAATTCCAATTGAGCTACTTCGGTTTGAAGGTTTGGCTATAGTTTTAGGGTAACATAACTGGTTTTTAGTATTTTTGGATGAAATACTCGTTCGTTCAGTAATTCCTTAGTTATCATCTTATTTTAGCCGATCGCAATATCCGTATTTTTTTATTTCTGACCGGTGGGAGGGTTTCTAACCAGCGTTAGGGTTTTTCAGTTTAGGGTTTAACGGGTGGTCTGACCGGTTTTAAGGTTTGAACCGGTTTCAGGGTTCCCAAAACCCCGATTTCAAAACCAAAAAAAATTAAAAACACCTACAGCAAAAGAAAATGAAATCTGAAATTCCCTTTCAAAATTTCCTGAAATACCAACAAGAAAAGAGATCTGAAAGGTGTTTCGATTGAAAAGAAAAGGAAACTAGTGAGAGAGAAGATGGAAGCCACGGTTAAAGAAGAGAAAAAAAAAGGGGGGTGAACCGAGGGTAAATCTCAAATCTTATCGTAGCAAGATAGTAAGATGCATTTGAGGAAGATAAAGCACAAATTAATGCAAGAAAGCTTTCCTTCACAAATACTTTAGTTTTTTACCGTGTAACGGAGGTTACAAACCCTAGCAAATAGATTAAAATTACTACTATAATTTTCTGTAAATTTACCAAAAAAGAAAAAAACAAAAGTAATGGTAAGAAATGTTCTTCCTGTAGTTTTAGTAATGGGTTACTCGCCCGACCGATGATGACAAGCCAACCATTCACTTTCTCCATCTTCAGTATTATTAATTTGCTAGTCAACAGTAGATTATTTGAATCCGGCCTGCCCTTCTTGTGATTTAACCAGCCACAGCCAGGCCCACCGTGATTGTTTCTTATCTTCAAAAGCCGAATTGGGAGCATCTTTTGATGTACGTTGATTCATCCCATTTTCTTCTTGCACTAGTACTTCGCATTCTTGCAAAGTTCACTTTTTTGGGGTTGCCTTCTACTTTCAGTGGGAGAAAATGGAGTTTGGTGGATTGTACAGCTGCAGGAACTGTCTAACCCCCCCTTGCCCTTGGCAATGATCTTGTTTCTAAAAATTTCAAGGTGAGTGTATAACCTTTTGATTTCTTTCCTTTTTCTTCTCCTGAATCATTAGCTTCTTTTCATGGATTTGGTTGTGAACTTGTGACAGGCAAAATCAGGGCAAGCTTCTATGTTCCTTCATGCAATGAATGTCGTTTTGGGGCCAAAGTACGACAAGCACCTCTTAACTGGTCTTCACACGATTGCAGATATTTATTGCAGCAAGTGTGGGGAAAGAGTGAGCTGGAAATATGTTCAAGCCCTTTAACTTAAAACAGAGGTACAAAGAAGGCAAGTTCGTTTTGGAAACACTCAAGATGATCGAGCAATACCAGCTCATTAGTAACCCCACCCCCCATCCTAGAACAGGTATGGAAATAAAGCAATATGTCAACTTGTATACTGCATTTTTTCTTTCCTTTATGAAAATTGGAATCTGTGTTCCAATCTTATGAGATTTGCCATTGACGCTACGTGTATCTCCTTTTCTCCCCTAAATGGAAGCTCCGGAAACCAGCGGGGCTAATTCTGATTTCATTTCTTTGCATCGTTGATTCTTGAGTGGAAATGAATCATTGGAAAGGTGGTCCCTTCACGCGTCATCCCTGGTGGTTGGCTCTGTGCGTTGAATATTCTTCCTAATTATACATGGTTTCATTTTCTGACGACGAAGTAAAATTTGTGTTAGAATCAAGAATGCAATAATCCCACAAATGGAAAGCGTTACGAACCGAGTTCAAGAGTTTTATGCAAATCTCAGCCCATCTTACCCAAAAATATACCATCTTTGGATAAAAATCTTATGTAGCACAATAAAATGCAGATGGGGAAGATCAAGTACCAATTAAACTTTTGACCATAACCAGAATTTTACTATACCATTTACAAGCAGATAATATTCTTAGCAATTAGACTAAAAAGGATTTTTGGATCACTATATAGTACGGAACTACAATAAATATGCAATTAAATGAGTTTATCATTTATTTTCATTTTTATAAAAATTAAAAATTTTAAATTAAATTTAATCTCGTGTGGCTTTAAACTCAATTTTCATTAATTAATAAACTACCACGTGCTTTATAAATCTGTCAATATGGGCCGGTCCAGTCCGGCCCTAGACCTTATGGGTTGAAAAAAATATGGTATGATTGGCCAGCCCATATTTTATATGGGCTACAAATGTTCAGCCCAGCCCACCTCTTGCTAGCCCATGGGCCGGCGGGTTAGTCATTTTTTCAAAAAAAATTATTTCTACTACTCATCAATACAAGTATACAACTATACTATGATTTAGTCCATAAATTAAATAATAAAACATATTACAAACAAATAAATTACATAAAAAATAAATAGCAAATACATTACTCAAATATAAATAAAATTTCAAATTTTTAATATTTAGCCCACCCCTTGTTAGCCTATGGGTTGGGTTGGGCCAACCCATTTTTATTTTTTTCAAAAAAAAATTAATTTTTATAATTTTACTTGATAAATTTTTTATTAATAAAATTGTTCTATGATTTAATTCATAAATTGAATAATAAAAACATGTTACAAATAAATAAATTACACAAAATATAAAAAAATAAATAAATTACATAATAAAGTTTAAATCTTTAACACAAACTACTATCTTAAACATAAGTATATAACCAAATAATAAAAATTTAAGACTCATTTATATCCTCCTCAATCTTCATTCTCAAGTAAAACATTTAAATCTTATTTAGACAGCAATGATGTCTCAAGGTCTGAATTATTATCAATTATCATCTAACATTCATTACCATAAAAAGAAAAGAGATAATAAGTTATAATTTAAATTAAAATTTTAATTTGACAAGTGAAGATTAAAGACATTGAAATATATAAAATAAACAATACTATTGGTAACTAAATTATTGATTTTTCATAATTAAATATATAAAATTATTAAATTAATTAAAATTATTTTTTTGGCCCATGGGCTGGCCCTGCCCCAGCCTTAGGCCTGTCAATATGGGCCGGCCAGTACCAACACTTAATTTTTTTTGGACCCATCGGGCTGGCCCGTACCAACCCGGGTCAACCCTAGGGCCTAAACGGGTTAGCTCGTTTAGGCCCAATTTTAATATGGGCTTAAATTTTTAAACCCGACCCGTCCCATATTTTTAAAAAAGTGAACTGACCCGATGGGCCAAGCCCATTTTGATAAGTCTATTTATAACTCACAAAATAACGAAAACAAAGCGAAAGCAAAAGAAAAAAGAGAGTTTTTGAGGAATAAAATGTTTTATATTTTTCTGTAGTGTTATACAAATGAAAAGAAGGGACTTATTAATAAACTGATAACCTCTTGTTAGATAAGATTAGATTACAAAATAGGAAAAAAATAAATAAAACAATAAATGATAAGAGATTTAATTTGAAAATATAATATTCAAATTAAATTTAAATATTAATTTAATTTAATAAATTTAGATCTAAACCTAAATATATATTAACAAATCTAAAATTCAAATTAGATTACATTTCATAGATTGAGACTTTTGTCTGGTTTATCTAGGCTACCTAACTTATCTAGGTTGTAGTTTGTTGGGTCCTTTGACGTGTCTAAATTAATCTGAACTCTTGAGCCACGATATAAATAATATCATAAAAATAATTAATAGGAATATATGGCATATATAAAAAGATGTCACATAAAATTTTTTTTGTTGGTTTCTTACCTTTTGTTCAAATTGCTTTATTTTAAAATAATTTTTTTTAATTATAAAATAAAATTTTCTTATAAAAGGATATTTATTATTTTGCAAAATTTTTATTTTTTACTTTTAAAAATTAAAAGTTTTTTTTGAATGAAATCATGTGGCACTTGTACACAAGTGACACATTCTTGTTATTACTTTTTGTCACATAATCAATTTAACTATTACCTTTAATAAAAAATGTAAATTGTTCATCGTAGTTCGAATAGTAAATGTGTAACTAATCCTAAAATTTAAGACATAACTATAGCATACTGCGATTATTTACTTACCTTTGGTATTGCCTGCATAGTTTACTCATTTGTGAACAGTTTTATGATACATTGATAATAGTATATATTGTAAAATACATAAAAATGTAAACATTTTAAATATTAAAAGTTATTTAAATAAAAAAATTTACCCGCGTCGGCAAAATTCTAGTAGAAATAATAAAGAAGCAAAATATAAAAACAGCGCAGGAGAAGATTGACTTGGGCAAGTCTTAGAGGAGGAAAACGTAAATTTCCTCGAAGGGTTGCCTTAACTTCACGCGCCTCTGTCACGTCTCAACGTCACGAAGGAATTGAAGCTAGGGGAAGCGGATCCCACTTTAAACAACGACAACGCATTCCCCTTAGCCAGCTGGAATTGACGTAACATGCGCATATCACGCTCTACTTTCAGCGCGTGTGTGACCTACTACCCCTTTCTTCAAACAATAAACGGTATCATTGTGGCTCAAGAATACTGCAGCGAACAAGAAAAATCCTCTTTTGAATTTCTCTTATCTCTTTTCTCAAGACCCATTCTTCTTCAATGAATGCCAGCTCCCACTCTCCAAGGTCAGGTCAGTAATGGAAGAAATTTCATTATTCACGTTAATTGTAATTAATTAATTTTTAATCCTCTCAAGATTCTTATATCTAGTATTCACACTGAAGCAAAGAATTTGGACCTTCTCAGATTTTCAAAATCAAGAAAAAAAAAAAGGAAAGAAAGAGCCTTCTTTTCTTTTGGCTAATGACTTGATGTTTGATTTTACAGCTCACATCCTCATCCATTCCAATTATAATAATCAATTAGTCAATTGGATTTCTTCTCTTCTTTCATTTCCTTTTTTCTTTCTTTTTACTTCAAACTTTTTCTTGAAATGGGTTGATTATTAATGTCCCTGTTGCTAATATTAATAGTTAATACCAATCCCGTCTTTGTCACGCCCATTTGTTTAATCAAAACTTCTAGTATCGTATAGGGAATCTTTGCTCTCCTTGTAATCCACTTTGGTTTAATCTTGCACGCAAATACCTTAATTTATTTCTCAAATCTTTATTGCAGTGTTTTAGGTGAAGGGTTTCATCTTTTTTTTTTTTGTTCATGTTTTGATCGCATAGACTGGTACAGTAAATTGAGTTTTTTTTTTTTCCTTTTCTGGCCTTAACTTGGGTAGCTGCTTTCTACTCGTGATTTGATATTCCTGTTTTCTGCGTTTGTTTCGTCAGCACCGAGGGTGTTTGAGCCTGAAAGTTGTTGATCAATGGCTGAATCCTTTGGTCCACGATTGTACAGCTGCTCGAATTGTCGAAATCATGTTTCTCTCCACGATGATATAATTTCCAAGTCTTTTCAGGTAGAGCACTAAGATCCTGGAATCGTCTTTTGTATGTGGTAGTTTTTGGACTTTTAAATACGGGCTAGATGTTTCTGCTTATGATCATTGGATTATGAAGACTTCATGCATAATGAAAATTATGATCATTGGGTTAGAAACGCTCATCAATAATTTTGAAGTGTTTTTCTTGAAATTAGTGATCTGACTGATCAAGTAATATTGGAAGTTTTGCTTTTGTTTATATATTCTTTGACCATGATTTGTGTATAGCTAGTGAAATGTGAACAGAATTGGGAAAAACTTTGTTCATTGTATCAACAATGAATTGAATTAAACTCAGTTTTGACTGTGATAAATGATCTTAGGAGACTTCCGTTCGATGTTTTCCATTATTTTGTTCTTAGGGAAGAAATGGCCGGGCATTTTTGTTCTCCCACGCAATGAATGTTGTTGTAGGACCAAAAGAAGACAGGCACCTGTTAACTGGTCTTCACACTGTTGCCGATATCTATTGTGCTGATTGCCGTGAGGTCTTAGGTTGGAAGTATGAGCGAGCCTATGAGGCATCACAGAAGTACAAGGAAGGGAAGTTTATACTTGAGAAGGCAAAGATTGTTAAGGAGAACTGGTAGCACCTGCACCATGTCAGGGTTCTCATTCCATTTATTCCTGTGTTGATGTAATTGTATCAATGCTTCACATTGATCTTGTACAGAAACTTGTCACCCGTTTGGAAATTTGTCATTGTTTCCCACTCTGCATTCTTAACATGCTCAACGTCCAGAGAATGCGTAATGGATTGACCATTCCCATGTTAATAAATTGCGGTACTGTCAACTACTCTCTATGACATCTCATTGTGTACTATGGATTAAGCATTGTGTAAATACCTGTGGATAAAATTGTTTGAGGAATCTGAGACATTGTTACTTTTTTCCATCCCTGTGATATTTTGGCTATTGCACAAAGCCTTTTGTTTTGTCAGGGAAGTTTTTCATTGAAAAATTCGTTTTTCAAGTTCTAAGAGCTTCTTGTCCTGATCAGTTAGGTGGATTGGTTTGGATTGCGGGATGCTATGGCAGGTGCAGGCTGATAGAACCTGGTGCTTGTTTGAGAAATATGTCATCGGTTAAGTAGCTTGTTAGGCTTGTACTAGTATATTTTAGAGTCTGCCATGTCAATGTGAGCTCAATCTTTAACAGTGCGATGACTCTGAACTTTAGTGTAGACAGTAACGATCAATGAACTGTTCGTAGTAAACTTGTAATATCCATTAGTTTGAATGCTTTCAAAGTTTCGCTTCAGTTTGTCCTATGCAGAACGATCCTGGAACCTCGGAATCAGCATAGAACAGACATTAGGCCGAGAAACAATAATCCAAAGTGGGAACTATCCTGGAATCTTTGTGTTTCCTGAATAAGAAGACGCAGAGAAAGTTATTGGTAGCAGACAGCAAAGAAAAGGCCTTCGCTGCTATGCACTGAGACAAAGCCAAAATAAGAACAAAAGAAAATGCGTGGGAATTTACTCAATAATTGTTTCTTTCTTATTTAACATTGTCTTCATCTTAGGTGGCTTGGTTGGATACCATTTTTACAGGTTGATCTATGCCTAAAAGAGATAACCTACACTAACAAGTGAAATGTTTGTCATTGCCCCATGCCCATAAATAAGCCGCAAAGGCAAGAATAAAAACACAATAGAGAAGGAGAAGAGGAATTTGGCCTCATTCGTCGTCGTTTCGATGCTTGAACGACAAGAATCAAATGACTCATTGTCAATAACAAGCATTTCCGCTCTAACAGAAAGAAAAGGAAGGAGGAAAAGGAAAGTTGAGAGTTTCAACAGAGAACTCAGTATCAAAATATAAGTATAGGAAGAACGCAGATGAACTTGAAAGAAGCATTATGGAGCAAGCCAACAGATTCCAACGAATCTCTGTCTCCATCATCGTCATCTCCAAGGGACCCAGAATCAGAAGCAGCGTCGGCTGCTGCCACGAGTGCGGTTGGGGAACTAGTTAACTCTCTCAACAAGCAACGAATCTATAGAGAAGTCACCCTCGCTCTCCGCACCGGCCTCCGTGACGCCTGCGCCGAGTTCTCTTTTCTCCGAGTCCGTGGCCTCCGTTTCCTCCTCAAATCTCTCCGATCCATAGCCCAGTCTGACTCCTCCATCATCCTCTTTTCCCACACCCAATCCATCCCCGACCTCCGAGGTTCATAATTTTCAAATCTCTGTTTTCTTTTCCTTTATTTCTATTTTTGTGCGTGAAATTTGGGTCTTTTCTGGGCAGTGGTTCCAGTGTTGTTCGAGCATTCATTGAAGGAAACAGAGGATGACAGAGTGGGAAGCTTGGATCATATATTCAGTGTGGAGCCCATGAAGATTAACAGTCCTTCCACGGATGCGGAAGTTGCTCTTGCGCTTAGAGTGTTGGAAGGCTGTTGTCTACTTCACCCGGAAAGCACCCGTTTGGCCCATCAACACAAAGCCATCCCGGTAATTATGAACAGACTTAGCTTTACCAGAATTTCGATTTAGATTTGTATTTCTATGGAAAGATGGCTTACATTAATGGGTGACATTGCTCTTGTTGATGGGAAATGGGAATTGGGATTGGAAAGTGAACATTGGAGATCGTTGTGCACTGTAGTATTAAGAATGTCAGCATTGTGTCTACACAAAACAAATTAGGGTGCTATTTCACAGCTCCAATTTTCCTGCACTTGATCAACCTGTTTTGAGGAATCAAGATCCCAACTCTTAATGTAATCTTTGAGTACTTGATATGATGCAGGTTTTGATGAATGTCTTATCAACTCGAGGAGTTCTTGAACAAGGTGCATGCCTCGATGCTTTAATCTCGATAATGTTGGACTCCTCAGCCAATCAAATGGTATTTTATCCCTTATTTGTCTGTGCTAATGTGTTACATAGCAAACTTTGATAATATTTAGTTCAAATTGGTAGTCTAGTTAGTTAGTTTTATTTCCATGTCAGTTTGGCTGCCGATTTTAATTAACTGCTCTCTTTATTCTGACTAATGCTACTGACCTGTTTTGCTGCATCACCAGGATTGCATAACCTTGAAATTTTTTTCAGTTTGTGTGGTTACTTTGTAAATTTGTTTCATGCTATTTGTAAAGCATTTCCATTTTAGTCCTAAAGAAGCTTAGTTGTTAGAGAGAGTGTTCAGCTTCATCAATACTCTATGTGAATGACAGCAAAAATGATCTTCTATAGCCTTTAATTTCCAGGGAAAAAAAACCCAACTTTACTTCTTTCCCCCTCAAATTTTTTGGATCTTTTATTGAAGAAGATACAAGTTGGCAGTTCTCTCCCTTGCCTTTTAAGTTTCATTAAAGTAACAGGGATAGGGGACAGGGGACTTCCAGCCATTCAACAAAATTAACACTATGAGCTTCTGGGAAGTTAATGCTTTTCTCAAATGTTGACTTAATATTCCATTAAAATCCTCACCGATCTGCTAGTCATAAGCCTCTTGAAAGGATGTTCCTTAAAGGAAGAATAATTCGTAATAGCCATTGTAATTAGATATTTAGATTTGCATCAGTCCTCCCACCATTTCTATAAAGGTCTTCCAAGAAACTTAGTTCTCATGGAAACCTAGTTTTGGTTGTAATAGAAAAAATGTTTAACAAGGATTGGCAACACTCAGGTTAACTGTCCATGAGAATAGCATCTTTAATCCCTTAGTTGAGCAGAGTTTTTATACTGAACTTTGTAGCCAAAGGAAGGCTTCCACTGCCTTTTTTACCTCATTTCTGGGTAATAATATCTTTCATATGTTCATTCCATATGTGTATGAATGCATAATATTTTTGCTATTACTCCCTAGGACTTTGAAGCATGTAATGGCATTGAGGAAGTTGCAGAGCTCATACGAGACAAGCAAGTGGATGAAAATCTCAGGTACTCAAAAATGGTAGCTGGGATATTTATTTTGAGGCCTTGTTCTCTTTTTCTGATGCTCCTGTTTACTTTACTATATCCTATGCGGTATACACAGTGCAAAGAAATTAAGGAAATGAAGTTTGCCTTTTTATTCATGTAGGAGATGGCACTGATCTCCCAATTACATACATTCATACATACATACATGCATATATATATATATTTGTCTTTTTTAAAGCTATGTTATGTCTCACTAATTCAGTTTAATATGTATATATATATATATTTGTCTTTTTTAAAGCTATGTTATGTCTCACTAATTCAGTTTAACTTAAAAAGAAAGCATATCATTCTGCTGATCAGGTTGAAATGTGGAGAGTTCTTGCTTCTACACATTGGACATGTAAACGGGAGGGAAAGGTCTCCCATGGCTACCATTCATGAAGACATAAGACGACTCTTGGGTGAAAAATCTGCTTCCTTGATATGGGCTGCAAGTCAATTTGGCTCAACGCTTGATCCAGACCAGAGATTGACAGCTCTGCACATCCAAGCCCGCAGGGTTCTGGAATCCCTAGACTTGTACTGAGTTTGAAATTATACTACTTCTCTTGATATTGCTCGTAGTTCCGGGGAACTTTCATTGTTGATTTAGAAGATGCAAAGATGTTATTTATGGAACCAACATTCTGTTCTTCGTTAGTGACTGCTAGTTATGTTAGGGGAGAATATTGCAGAAATTCAGATCAGTGATTTATTGTATACTTGTAGAAAATGATACAAAGCAGAAAGTGTCATGCATCTACAAAGTGACTGTTTTCATGTGGAGGGTTAATTTATCCAAAGTGGCATAGATATCTTCTGTTCTTTCATGAGACTTGTCATATGCAAGAAATGCATGAGTATCACCTCTATCCTCAATCCAACTACATCCTGGGGTCTTAAACATTCCAATATCTTTAATTTTTTGTCTTGTTCTTGCTAGATCAGACCATTTTCCAGCATAAGCATATAAATTTGCCAACAGTACATAGTTTCCAGAATTATTGGGTTCCAATGCTATAAGTCTCTTTGCCGCAATTTCTCCCAACTCAAGATTATTATGAATAACACAGCCGCCAAGCAAGGCGCCCCACATCACTGAGTCAGCATCCATTGGAACTCTCTGGATAAGTTCATAAGCTTCATGAAGCTGACCTGCTCGACTTAGCAGATCAATCATGCATGTATAGTGCTTTATGGTGGGTTTGACATCATAATGCTGCATCAGATCAAATAATTCCTGACCCATCTCAACAGACCCAACATGAACACATGAAGAAAGAGCGGAAAGAAAAGTCACTTGATCTGGCCTAAAGCCATTCGCTAGCATTCCTCTAAAGAGAGCAATACCATCCTCCCCGCGTCCATGCATTGCATACGCTGTAAGCATGGCATTGTGGGACACCAAATTTGGGTCTGAAATCCTATTATATGCTAGTAGTGCGTGATGTATACTCCCACATTTAGCATACATGTCCACAAGGGCTGCTCCTATGTAGACATCAGCATCATAACCACATCTAATCGAATGTGCATGAACCTGCTTTCCCCGTGCAATGGTAGCAGACCTTGAACAAGCAGGTAGAATTATTCCAATAGTGTAAATGTCAGGCCTTACATTTGAAGTCTGCATTTCAAAGATCAACTGTATGGCTTTGTTGTGTAGGTCATTTTCCACATGTCCTGCAATGATGCCATTCCACGTATAAACATTTGGCTCAAAACCATCTTCTTTCATTTTTTTAAGCAGATGTTGAATGTCTTCAATCTGATTGCAGCGGGCATAGCCAGATATCAAAGCATTCCATGTTGCTGTATCGCGCTCAGTTACTTCATTAAAAGCAATTTGAGCAGCCATTAGCTCTTGACATTTGCAGTACATTTCGACCAAAGCTCCACCAACAAAGGTATTGGATTGCAGGCCTCTAACAATGGCTTGAGAATGTATCCCTTTCCCAAGTCTCAAAGAACCTGTGTCAGCACAAGCAGTTAGAACACTCCCTAGAGTGAAAGAATCGGGTACAATTCCATCTTCCTTCAGAACATGCTTAAACAAGTCCAAAGCTTCACCAAATAGGGAGTTGTTTACATATCCAGATATCATAGAGTTCCATGAAATTATGTCCTTCTTGATAGCCATAATCTCCATCCGATCAAATAGTTCCTTGGCCATGGAGACATTACCATTTTCACAGTACCCAACAATCACTGTATTACAAGAAACCACATTTTTCACTGAGAACTTTGAAAACAAATGGAAAGCACTTGTCATATCACCACATCTCCTATACAAATCAATTAACCCATTCACAACAATAGCGTTAGACATAAACCTATGCCTCGTGATATATCCATGAAATTCTTTGCCAAGGCTTAAGTTTTGTAATCTAGCAGAAGCTGGAAGAACACTCGCTAGAGTCTGTGCATTTGGTTCTATGCCTTCCCCTACCATTCTAAACAACATCTCAATGGCTTCCTCATCATAACAATTTTGCGAGAAACCCCCAATCACGGCACTCCAAGAGACAATATTTGGTCTTAAATTCTCAAAAGAAGACATTCTTTCGAAAAAACCCAATGCCTCATATACCTTCCCATTGGTAGCACAAGCAGTAACAACAGCATTCCATGACACACGATCCTTTTCAGGCATTTTCTCTAGAACTTTCTTAGCATCATCCAAGCTTCCACATTTACCATACATATCAATCAAAGCATTACCAACATAAACATTTAAAACAAACTGATACTTAATCAAAATCCCATGTAATTGTCTTCCTACTTCAACATTTCCAAGACCACTACAAATTTTCAATACAACGGGAAACACAAAAAAGTCCAATAAAAGTTCTTCCAACTGCAATTTCTCAAAAAGCTGAAAAGCTTCCTCAAAGAGCCCATAATCAACATACAACCTAAGCATAGCTGTCCAAGAATACAAGTTCTTCAACGCCATTTTATCAAACAACAAATCCGCATCTTCCAAACAACCAAGCTTCCCATACATTTGGATCAACTTGGTGTCCACAAATTCGTGGCCAAAAAACCCAGTTTTAAGGATATGAGCATGAACCTGTTTTCCGAGGATTGGGTCATTGGAGCCTTCGAGAATTGAAGCATAGGCGGTTGAACTTATTGGTTTATCAAGCAAGGATAGAGTGTTGGGCATGTGAGAGTACCGAGGCTTAGGAGGATTTTGGTTTAGTGGCTGTGAGGATGGTGGGATGGTGATGGATTCCCACATTTGAGTAATCATTTTTCTGAGTGAGGGCGGTAGCCAACTCAAGTACCAGAAACGGAAAACAAGGAAGTTACCAACATGTGCAATGTTCTTAATAGTGTCTTATTAACTTACAAGGTTCTACGATTCCAATGTCATCATTGTCAGCTTGGCTTGGGCAAGATATTTATGGGTCAGTTTGGTTATAAGGACGCCCACATCCAGTTATAGGCAGGAGGGAATTTTTCTTTTTATTTATTTTTTATCTTCTTTTAACTCTGTTGACTTACCAAGAGATTAAATTTGATTTTAAGCACTTCGTTAGATTAAAATCCTTTAACGGGCCCAGATAAAAAGTATTTATAGATAATAATTAAAGTTAATTAAATTATTATATTAAAAATATATCTTTTATTTAACGTACTACTCTTATTCAATTTAAGAATAAAAATACATTAATTACAACAATTCTTTTTTCAAAAAAATATTAGTCTAACCAGTATGAAATAGGCATCTATTAATATTTATTTCTTGAGAAAATTATATTATTAAATGGGTTTTCTCCGAGTGTCTTTGGGACACTCTTTTAAAGTTATTATATTAAATAATATATTTTTTATATTTATTACTCGTAACATTAACTTTCAGTTATTTCATTTAATACAAAAATATTACTCAAAACAGTGTTTTAACTAATCTCAAGATTAACAAAATGATTATTACATTCTCCAGAGGTTAGTATATTAAAAATTAAAATTATTACCTGGTAAACTTTTAAATACCCTTTATGAGAAATACATATATATATATATATATATATATATATATATTCGTTTGCTCAAATTTCCTTCTTGCTACAGAAAGTACCTAAGATGTTCAATGTTTATCAGCTGCTTTTTGTTCGTAATCTATTGAAGGCTCATCATGCAAGGCAGGCAGTAGCCCACAACTGTAAATTGTACCTTATTTCGGATCATAGAAAGAAAACCAGGCCGAAGAAACAACAATTGCCTTGTGATATAGAGAATTATCCTGAACGACAGGACTTGATTTGTCTCCTTCAAAGGAAATATGGGACATTGATAATGGCGTACCAATAAACCAAACAAAAGGCTTATATGTGTAGATCGCAAGTTCAAATCTGATGGTGACGTTGCAAACAAAGCTCATCATCACCGACTTTCACGTATAGCTACAGGTTCATACGTGACCCCCACCCCCTATTGCTAGCTACGTGCAAGTTGTGTGGCCTGTCTACACTTTGATGGAAAACCAAACAAGCTTAAACCTGTTTCGCTACAAGCATTTTCTTGGAGGGTCATGAGGAGGGAAAGTATGGCAGCACAGGGAATATTTAGCTTCGCTTGTAACTTTGGAGATCAAAAGAAAGTACAGTTCCAAAGCTTTAGAGGGTTTGAATTAATAATAAAGGTAGGAGCTGCTCTGGTTTTTGGTTTTTAAATTAAGTTGGTATGAAAAAATAGTTGAGATTCTCAATAATGGTGTCAATATTTGAATGGAATGTATATTAATCAAGATTGCAGAAGTTCATCATTCTCTGGTCATTAACATCATAGATATGAGCTTTTACATATCGTGAGACTGACTTCATAAGATTCATTTTCTTTGTAATTCATGATTTACAGCTAGAATGATCACGAAAATATATGCAGGCATATATTCTTGTATTTCATTGGTGGAAGGAGAAAGTTGACTCCGTGAATCTTAATCTATTAATCATAAACAGTAAATTGGCGACGAAAACAATTGGTAAAACGTCAAGAAATTCTGATCATCACCGACAGTCTAGAGGCTGATTCGGAATGTTGAAAATCTTGCCCCATCTCATTGACAAATTAGGGAGAGCAAAAGAAAACCATCTCAAAGTGAAAATTACATACATAGTGTGGTGCCCGAGTTTGGCAAAGAAAGAGACCCTCCATGATGGGGGGTGGTGGCGTGGTGGTGAACCTCAATTCACGGCTTTGAAACACCCATAGTGGTGAACACCTTGGACATAATAATTTATGTCATTGAGGGTCTAAGGCTACATATCTACTTGTGCTACCATGGATAAAATAATATAGTAAATAAACAAATCATGGGTCTGTATGAATCATAAACTATATCTGAAAGATTTTGCTAGCTAGGTGGAAGGGATTATTCCTGAGCACGGCTCCCAAGGAGAATGTTTGTGGGTCCCACCTATGACCAGAGATGGGATTGCTAAGTCAAAGCTAAGAGCTTCTTTGTCTTCGATTTTACTGGTGAACTAGCGAAGAAAGAAATACGGGGATGGGGAAGTAATAATAGCTTATAGTTCAAGGAGATGGAGCATATTGCCATGTATGGAAGAGTCTCCCAACGCTGAGTGACCAAAAGATAGAAGCTGTTATACGCATGAGTTTCGGGCGAAATGGGAGGACGAGATAAGTCTTAGAAACCTTATAAAAAAAACCTGTTATTCTTTGTCTATGCACGCATCTTCAGCTTGATTCTTAATCTGAATTTAAAAAATGCATATATCTTTGTGCAATCATTCAAAATAACTCTTAAGAACCAAAGTAATTATCCCAAGCTGTTCATCCAGAAGAAAAAGTACATGCCCAGGGAAAAAGAAATAGAAGAAGAACGAAAGAATACTAAGCCTGCATTAGAAAGTGGAATGGCATGTGCAGGCTTGGCTCAGATGGGGTCATACCTAATAAGTAATTCATTCTGGTTATTCCTTGTCAAGATAGTACACTGGCCTATGAAGGTTTGCTTTTTGAGGGGGAGGGGGGAAGAATCTCAAGACCCAGATGATGCTGATAAGACCCGACACTCGTGACCTGTTGGCAAGGAAAAAAGAAAAAAGGGGGAA